AAAGGGAGGAGGATGTGGATATGTATGGTAGATAATACTTAACTTTAGACATGAGGTAAAGATTGTAGTGGTCAGGTAAGCATCCTCTTGGGAGTTTTTCCAACAAAGTATATCCAACTTAATTATTCGCAATGATTCTTCCTCCCTCTCCATTAGTGATTTGCAAAAAACCAACAGTTTACAAATTCATGTGTCCTTTGGGAGATTGTATCTCCAATGGATTAAATAATATTTATGTTGGTCACACCACAAACTCACTTTCACGATGCTTGACTCTACATTTGAATGATATTTCTAACATTTTTTGGCATTTAAAACAACATACCTGACCACGTACACAATTCCGGAAAATCCTCGTTGAAAATGCAACTATACTTAAACATGAAAACAATAAACAAAAACTAAAAATTCTTGAAGCTATATACATAAAATAGTTGAAACCTAACCTAAACAAAATAAACTATGAAATCTCCACAAATATTCTTAAATGCCTATACTTGATAATAGAAGCCATTGGTTTATACCAACAGCTTCCCATACTTAATACTTCTCGTTTTCACTCTCGCGTGGTCATATGTGATGTCATGAGCTGCAGTGCGATTTTCGCTTCTGCGTCTTGTATACACGAGTTTGTTGTTGCTTTGAAATTTTTCATACAACAAAAACAGACTATCTATCATTATCGTTTCGTCTGTGTATTGGTTGATATATTGAAAAGTAATTGTCATCTTTGATAATAGATTATGTAAGCCGAAAGCTTAGATGGAATTTAAACATGTATCAATATGGTGATTTCCTTTCGTCTTTCAATGATAATGTTATTAAGCTTATCAGACAATATGAAAAGAACTTACATAAAATAAATAAACAAAACTTGTCTACATTATTTAATGAAACATGCATCAATGAAAAATTGCTGCCTAAATATACAATATATATAAATTCATGAAATTAAATGTATAAAAAAAAAAAAAAAAAAAAAACAACCCAAAGTACAATACTCTTTATAAAAACAGAGAATGGCTGCAAATAAACTGAAAATGAAATAAGATAGAATAAAATTCTATTTATAAGATAATTTAAATTTGTTATGACAACATTTAAATATGATCTCATTCTTTTGGTTTAATAGCTGGCTAGTATTTTTAAATTTACTTATTCTAATTTTTTATTTTAGGCAAAAGTTAAATCTATTTCTGAAGCTGTTGGGTATTTGAGATTTACCAATAATCTTCCATTCAATCTCTGGAGTGAAATTTCTATTCTTTAATTCCCAGAAGTATTTAGAAAGAGCTGTCTGGTGTTTTAGTGTCAGAGAAAGAATGTTTGTGATTATATAGTCTCTGCTTCCAGATCCCAGCAGAAAAACTGATGTATACATCTTTTTTATTTTTTACATTTTCTTTAGGGAAAATGGTTGCTTGGTATAAAAAATTATATATTATTTTACAAAAAGAAAAAACATTTTGTTGAGATAAATTTAAACCATTTATATTTTTGGTCTGATGAGGCTTACTTGTCAAAATAAATCATGATTTATAATTGTTTTTGAAAGGTATCAAGTTTTTTTCTTGATGTATATCATATTGCTCTGCATTCTAGACATTGAGCTATCTATGGATCTATCTTTTTAATATTTTATATTAAAAAGAATCACTTGGATTATCCTTTCCACTTACAGATAATATATATATATATATAAACCATTATCTTTTCCAAGAAATCATGAAAATTCAGAGAATAAAGAAAAGGGATCTGTGGAGAGTCACAATTGTGTATTTCCTGAAAAAACATGATGAAAAAAAAAAAAAAAAAAAAAATCGAAACTGACAGTGGCCAGTGTGATGTAAACCCATTTTGGTGGAATAAAAACGTGGTCTTTTGTAGGGCTGTTGGCTAAACACCAAAGGAAAAATCCAAAACCAAGTAAAGATAAACTGTCAATATTTCTCTATCCACAAAGTAAAAAAAAAAAAAAAAAAAATTCAAGATTAACAAATCCATGGATTGATGTGTCATAAAAGCAACCAACCCAACCCGTGAGCAGATTCTGTCTTGTACAATTGACTTCCAAAATCCACCTATGGCAAATAAAATTCATAGTGACCTCCCTATCCACTTTTCTGTGAGTTGACTTTAAAAGCTTTCATTGTGGTATCTTTTACAATATGTGAAACCATTTTAACAATTTGCATTTTTAAGAAAGAAATAAAAACATTTTTAAAAAATAAAGAACTGCTCCAAAAAAGCCAGTGGATCAGTGATAGTATATCATTTAAATTAGCAATAAACAATAATCAACAATGGCTATTCCAGATAAGTGGTTACTTTAAGGTTGTTCATTTTTGCTTTTAGGTAACAATGAAGTGGTTTCTATTGTTGGTGAATTTCAAAATATTTACAAAACAATCAGTGAAAAAGCTTGGTTAAAAGGAGAGAGAGATTTGTTTTTTTTCGAAAGGCTTCTTAGTTGGGATAACTTTTCAGCACCTCCATCAGTGAATTTTACCTCTTAACAAAAGGCAATGTCTGATTCTAAATAATATAAATAAAGCAATGAATATAGATGCAGTTACAAACCTAATACATTTCCTTTAAATCTCTGCCACAGTCAATGTTTTCTTTCAGCTCCTTTTTAATAAATTTTATTGTTTGAAAACAAATCTGAGTAACAATTTCTTTAAAGGGTTTCTGATTATTCACCAAAGAAAAAGTCATCACTAACAGGTGACAAAAACAGCTGTGCTTATCTACAATGATTGGAACTTAGATTCAAAATTTACATAAAAATGAGACTATCTTTCTTACTTGTCAGGTGTATAGTCAGCTTCCAGAAGTTGATAATTTAGAAACAAGTTTTGAAAATTTTACAAAGTGCATATTAATTCCAGTGGATTAACTGATCAAACTTTTACCTGATCAGATTTAGTAGTAGTAAATCTCATTTTCATAACAAACGATTTTTACAAATCAATTCAAAGTATTTTCTTGTTTCACAACACTTTATGGTTATATATGACTTGAAGTATAATTGTTTTTACAAGTGCAAAGAATTACAATATACAATCTTTGTTCAAGATGAAAGTATTTATGATGAGAAAGCTGGTACCCCACCCCCCCAAAAAATCCAACAACAATATAAACCAATATATGAAAAAAGAAAAATACAAGAAGCACAGATATGTACAGTATATATTTTATTCAGTGAGGAAGGTTTTGTCTAATTGGACACAGATTTCAAAAATAAATACTAAAAGATGGAATCAGAGATTGTTGAAATGCTTTGTAAAACAGAAATATAAATATTACAATATGAAACATTTTTGTTTTGTTTTTTTTGTTTTTTTTTTTTAGTTACTATTGGTGTTAATTTTTCTCTTAGTTTTTTTAAGAAATCTCTTTTAGTAAACCATCTCTGAGCTGGACCAGAGTTTTAATTGTGTATATATGTCATCATACATTATGGTAATAACAGTTTGTTTTCAGAAAATATACAAAAACAAGGAAGTGATGAGAAAGAAAGGATCTACTCATTCATACAGGCAACAAATGGGAGAGACCTGAATTAGTCACCCTCCTCCCCACTTCTCATACACAAGGTAAGTAAGAATGAACATTTTTTTTTTTTTATGCATCTGATATGCTTGAATACAAGTACAAAGATGCTTAGACATGTACCAATGTGGGTAACAGAGCGGAGAACCAAGTCATCAGCTTAATTGAGATGAGGTGAGGTGACTCAGCAAATGATGATGATGCCCCCACCCACAAGTTAGACAAGGAATAATATTTACAGCAGTATGAGCAGTAGGGTCCATGCAATAACAAATAGCAAATAGATGTCTATCTGTTGTGCCATTTTATAATAGCATTTACCTACATAATCTGTAAAAGAAAAAATGTTGGACAACAAAAACATTCAAGAAACATTTTGAAGAATCATAAAAAAAAAAATAAATAAAACTGTAGAAGACAGAAAGAAAATAACATTGTTCAGACTGTTGTTCTCATCTTTATTGCCATATTCACATATTTGTGAATATGGTAATAAAGATGAGGATAACAGTCTGAATAATGCAAATAATGTAAATAATTTTAAGTTTGTTTTTGGCATCTTGTTTTAGCCTTTGTTAGTGAATATATTGATAAATTTGGTTATTGTAGTTTTTAGCTGTGTATGAATAAACTGACCACAATAGTCTTGGAGAATGTTATTTATCCAAGACCTAGATAACTGATTTGAACTTTAACCATGGCACCCACTTTTCTTTTTTTTTTTAAATAATATTAAAATTAGTTTCTATAGGATAAGGTATATTATTTATTTCACATGCATGAGTTTGATAGAGATCACATGGATAATTATGAACAAAGAATTTGTTAACCTAAATATGTTTCCAGATTTTGAATAAGTACAAGTTTGGTCATTCCCATACTCAGGATTTTTAAATAGTCATGCTTTTTCACTAAAATCAGGTTCAACTGGATAAGCAAATGATAATAATCCGAAAGAAGTTTTTAGCATTTAGAAATTGTTTAAATATATTTTTTGCTTTTTTATAAACATTTTGAAAAAAAAAAAAAAAAAAAAAACCCAAAAAACAAATAGAAAACCATAAAGATTAAGATAGCATTTTAAAATGTTATAAATACATTCTCTGGCTGATAAACAAATAGAATTCTTTAATTACATCTTAATTGTGATTTTTATTACCAGAGATGAATCCTTTCAATTTACAAGATGGGACAAAGTTTTAAATAGATTTATTCAAGAGAAATCTGGTAATAAAAGCACATGAAACTTAGGCTGAATGTAACACTGCTTCCATCTCAGAAGATTAATTAGGAAAAGAATGAAAGAAAGAAAGAACAGGATTATTCTAGTCAGTGTTTCAGATTGAGCAAATAAGAAGAGATTGGTGGTTTTGGATAAAGAATGTCAAGATAAAAAAAAAAAAAAAAAAAAAAAAAAATGAAAAATTTGGATAATAAACCTCAAATCAAAAATGAGTGTTTATTGGGTTGTGGCACCAATAAATAGCTAAAAGATCTTTTAAATATGAAGATATTCGGAATGAAGAAATGGAAAAGACAGAGAAAAAACTGGTATGAAAGTATTGAGAAAAACACATAATGAAAATGAATTTCATATTGGATGGGAAGGGAGTTCTACACATTTCTTTTTGTAATGCTATTAACAGAAATATGAGAATGATTAGTACCAATATTTTTCTTATGCTTTATGTTAATTTTGATTTTTGTTTTCAGAATCAAAGAATTTTGGTTTGAATGCAGAAAATCAGCGGAGAAATTAAGTTTTTTTTTTTTAATGTTTATAATGTGAGGAATGTAAATGTTAGTGTTGTTTATAAGATGATGTGTGTGTGTGTATATATATATATATATATATACACACACACATACACACACACACACACACAAAAACACATATTTACACATACAAATACAAACTTCTAATTAAAAGATGATAACAAGCTCACTATGAGTATATAGATAGCTGTATACAAATGTACACATATTTTGTATTTTTAAAACTAAAAAAGGTTATCATGAGGTATAGATGTATAGTGTATATGAGTGCTTGTGTATATGTGTTAGCATATATTTTTTATGCCAGACTATAAGTCTAGCCTAAGATGAAATGACAAGGATTATGTAATGGTGATTTATACAATATTTTTTCAAGTCACCCATGAAAGATTTCATATCAGAATTTGTGGCCAAATAAATCCAAAACATGTCCTTTAAATAACGATTTCAAAAGACACTGGGGGAAAAATGTCACTTCCACAGAGTGATTGAAACAAGAATGATGAAAACACTTGCTATAAAGTCAGTAATCAAAAAGACTAACATAATAAAACAAGGTTGGCTCAATATGTGAGACAACAAACAAGAGATTTTACAGTTGTTTGCAAATGAAAAATCAGGAAAGAGAAAAAAAAATGAAGTTTAGAATACAATTATTAATACTGGCTAGGTATTATAAAAATCTATTTAGTAAAATAGAGGAAGTCATTTTCCTAGCTCACATCACAAATGAGATTTTCTTTAATATATTTTATAGAAATCTTCAGATAGTTTTTTTTTAATGTAGGAACTAATTATATAATTGATATTACAAAAAAGTTTTAATTCAAATTGAAATTTATTAACACAACATAATACAAGCTCCCTAATTAAACTAAATATGAAGAAAAATTTTAAATTTTTATTATGGGTACTACATTTAATTGTTATCTCTGATTTCATAGTTGGTTTTTATACTAAGAAAAAATCTGAGAAAATTCTAAAATTAGTAACATTTTTGAATAAAATAATCAAATCTACTCATAGGGAGAATGCACATAACATTTGCTGAAGTTATTTTTGGAAAGTTAACTCTTTATACAGAAGATCAGTGTGTGTGTGTGTGTGTGTGTGTGTGTGTGTGTGTGTGTGTAAAATATGCTTAGCCCAATAAAAACTAATGGGGTTTAGTTTTCTTGGCTTTGCTTGGGAGTATTAAGACAAACTGCAGTCCAACATGAGATTTTAAATTTTATAAGGAATTCAGCCATAAAATCAATAAGACACAGTTTCATTGAAGATTTTAAAAAAATCTAAAATATATTTTGCTATTCATCTGTTTTTCAAGGGAAATAAACAGATATGATTTGGTGACTCCCAACTAAAATTTAAACTGCTTTGTCACAACTGAGAAATGCATAAGTTACTGAAGAAAGAATATAACAGGAAAACTTTGAGGGACATGGGGCATGTTTGAAACGAAAGCAAAGGGAAAAAATATCAACAGATTTTAGATAAATTGGTCCTTTGACAAAATATATTTGGCAAGTTAAAAACTTAAGATTTAAAACAGTTCTGAAATGTAAAAAATAAGTTGTGACAGATCAACCCGTTGCTTTGAATAAATAAACATTTGAAGCATCCTACAGAAATGATACTTACATCTTTTTTAAGCTATTTTCAGAGTTTATTTCCAATATTGTTTTGATAAATTGAATTTGAATAATAACGTTTCAAAGATGTTAATGACACCACAATTCCAAATTATATTGTCTAAATCAAGCTCATAAAAAGAATGTTTAAATTTTTAAAAATAATCTCAAAATGTTCATCATTTGTCTTGGTGACTTATTGCACTTGACTGAATAGTCTAAATGATGGTGATTTGCATTATTGTCCAACTAGCATGATTGAGAAATTAAATCACAGGCGTTCCTCACACATTTCATGGAAATGTGATAAAGAGACAAACTAAGCATAGATTCATTAACATATTTATAGAGGATGAAAACTGTTGAATGTAAGTGTTCAGTTTTGTGTTCTGATGAATACTGTACAAAAGAGAGAAAAGATTCTCCCAGTTATGTGATTATTTCATTTGATAACAATGGGTGAGGGGAACATTGTAAATCAATTCAAACTTCAAATTACAAAAAAAAAAAAAAAAAAAAAAAAAAAATCGATTGCAGTTCTTTTTGTGCTATAAACTTCTACCATGAAAGATGAATTGAATGATAATGTGACTTTTGATCAGGATCATAGCTGTTGAATATAAATGTATGCACTCAAATATACATTTAATTTCTATTTTGTTTGATTCAACCATATGCATAAGATACAGAGAAATCTAGTTTATATTGCAGCTCAAAAGTACATTAAAGTAGTTTGCAGTATACTACTTTTGTTGTCTCATAATAGTTGTTACATTTAGTGTATGAAATGTTTGTGTGCAAAAGTAATAATTATTATCAGACAGCAATAGTAATATCTTGAATGAGATGGTACCAGATAACCGCAGTGTTGATGGCAGATACTGTGCAGGAATTCATTCAAGAAAGGGAATACATAAGCTGTTGTGTTCACACCAGTGTGCAATCCCTTTTGTGTGTGTGTGTATGTATGTATATAAAAACAATAACAAATAAATTTAAGCTTTATGAAAAATTTACAAATCAAAGAAGTTTGTCAGGAATAGAAGCATCAGTATTTTTTTTTGTTTTGTTTTTACTTGGGCCTTATATTTGTAAATTTTCCAAAAATCACTTCAAGGATGTAGAAAACAAATATAAGAAATGTACAGATAGACTGTCATAGCAAGAATAAAAAATAGAAAAATCTTTTAATGAAAGCATGCCATGATTAAACTGTATCACTGAAGTCCTATTTACACATGGTGAATGAAGTGTTTATAAGCAAATAATTGCCTACTCATCACATGTACTACTCAAAGCACCCCACCCCAATATTTTCAGTTTAATAGTTTTTTTTTTAATTTATTTTTGATTATTATTATAAAAATGCAGTATTTCCATTATATTTGTTCTACAACCTTGAAGGATTTTTAAAAATAGTACTTAGAATATGAGGCAAAGAAAAAAAAACAACTATAGTTACAGCATCCTTTTCTCGTTAAGTTTTCTATTGTTTGGCAATTCTTTGGTTACGAGACACTGTATACAGTATCAACATATTTTCAAAAAAAAAGTCAGCATTGTTTTTTTTTTGTTTTTTTTAATATCAACTGAAAAATGTAGCATTTGCTTAGGCCACAAATGTTATAACATTTTTTGCTGGTATTGAGATAAGATAAAAGCAATTGGCAAAAATGTGGGAAGTTTGTGAGAAAGATACAGATATTTTCCGATTAAGTTAAATATCTGCACAAAATCAATAAACCAATTGCAAATGCTAATTTAGAAACCCATCTTGTTTCTTGGAAATAAAATACAGAACATTTCAATAACAGATCAGAAAATAGACATTTCTTCTACTGGTGAGGTCATGAAAAGTCTCTCAAAGACATCATCCATTTCTTTAGTGTTGGTTAATTTGTTAGAGTCACTGTTAGCAATTGTACTTATTACAGTTGATGAACTAGACTTTTCTGCCGTACTTAACAATGATGAAGTTTTTATGTGTGTTGAGGATGGGACTAGAGGCATATTTTCAGAGTCCTCAGTTTGGGTTGGAGATGGATTCCTAGAATCCTTGGACAGAGAGTGTGTTTTCTCCACATTTGTGGATTCTACAGTCCGTGTTACTAACATTTCTATATTTGTAGAGTCCGGGTTCTTTGATGATAACATAACTACATCATTAGACTCGTAGGTCTGTAAAGAGGACATGACCACATCACTTACTTCCTGTGGACATGATGGTAACTCTTCTTTTAAGTTCTTGCCTACATTTTCCAAATCTTTTGTAGCTGAAGCAACCCCTTCAGATTCCTTGCTTTCATAAGATACTACTGTCTGTGTGTTCATGGAGTCCTTTTTTTCAGAGAATGCAACTTTATTTTTAGATTCTTGGTTAGAAGGAGATGAGGTCTGAAGAGATTTCACATTTTGGTCATTAGTTTCAGTCTCTGAAGATTTGGTCGGAAGTGGGGCGGTAGCAGTAACAGCAGTAGTGGCGATGGTGGTGGTAGCAGTAGCATCACTGCAACTATTTTTATGACTACTGCTATTACTACTACTATTAGCATCAAGAATAGATACAGCATCAGTATGCTCTTGACTGTTTATTTCATTCAAGAGGGCCTGTAATTGTTCTTGAACCAGGCTTGGCTGTTCTAAATTATTCATCCATCTTTGATCAGCCTCAAGCACATTGGTCAAGTTCTTTGAGCTTAACTGATAATTCATTTCTATATTCTTGTTCATATCTGCTTCTATTCTCCAGTGAGGCAATTTAGACAGTTTGTGCTCAGCTTTGTTTTTTTTGTTCATGCGTAATGTTAATGGAATGAACAACTCATGGAAACTATTATAGTCAATCTTTTCCAGGATTGGCCGCTGAGGAAGTTTGTTTTCTTCCCCACTTCCATTGTCTGATTCTTTGGAACCAGAATCAGATTCCTTTGAAGCACCATCAGATTCTTTCAAAGAACTACCAGCTTCCTCATTGCTTCTCTGGTCGCTTGGAGTGAGACAACTTGAATTCTTTGAGGAACTGTCAGATTTGTCATCATCATTGTCACTAGATTCAATTTTTTCAGAATGGTTCTGCTCTTTGCTTTCTGCTTCAAGAGTTTTCTCAGAATTATCTCTGGAAGTGTCCATCATAGATGTGCCTGACTTGTTTTGAGGCTCATCTGTAACTGATCCAAATACCACAACCTCTGTGTCTACATCATCATCATCATCCTCTTCAGGAGACAGGGTAGAGGTCTTCTCATCCTCTTCCTCCTCTCCATTAGGTCTGGTATTGCTTAGTTGGGTTGATTGATCAAAGAAGATCAAGAAATCATCTTCTTCATTCTGCAACAAAGAATAGAAAATTAGTTTAAGAGACATAAAATTATAAAAACATTATAAATAAGTATTGAAATCTAAAGCAAAAAAATGATATAAATTTTACTATTTTGACACAAATTCATTTTGTAGGTAATGTACATATTGTTAAATATATAAATACTACTTAAAACACAGAGGCATTTAGTTTACACTGATTTTACAAGAAGGTACCGAAAAGTTCTTCGACCAACCAATTTCCTAAAAACTGACCAAATATCAGAATTTTGAAAAGTGAATCCCTTCTTGCTTGCATTGAAAACTCTTCACCCCTTTCCTATATAAATGCATGATCTTGATACATTTTTCTATCATGCATAACTGTTTTCTTTTTGATAAAAAAGGTTACTTGGTTCCAATATAAAATTGACTTGAGGATTATAAACGTTGCTTCATTATTCATAAAATATTTCTAACCAATATTTTGTATGTGTTTGTTCAACAAGCTATATTGACTTTGTCTTATGCCATTATTATAGTCATTTATTTTTATTTTGCATGTATGGTAGTGAAGCAGAATTTAAATGTATCTGGAGCTGCTTATGCAACAAAGAGAAATCAGACTAAATTTTAAGTTTCACATATCTTGAAGTGCTTATGTCTTATATATTTGAGAAGAAAAGCAAGGTGGCTGAATTTTGGCTATCAAGCAATTTTGGTCTTTAATCAAAATATCTTCATGCATCAAAAACAATATTTTTCCTCAGTTGTTTATTTGTGTAACAACATTACTGAATTCTAATACATACAAACAATAATCATATCAATATGCAAACATTAATTTTTGAAAAATGCTTACAATAACTGGCATTTTAGCATTGTGGGTTTTGAGATCTTTCAGTTGTTCCAGCAGAAGCTTTGGCTGATAAAGAGAATTCAGTTTCTCATTATCTTCTTTTAAAACACGTTTCATTGACTTTTGTGGCACAGTGTATTTCATTCGGATATTGGATGACCAGTTTGTACTCTGAAGCCAGAATGGATCCCGTGGAAGGCGTCTGTTTTTCCTTATGTTTTCAATATCCTTAAAATAAAGCAGTTATATAAGGTTTTTTTTCAAAATAAAATATACTTAAATCAGTATAAAGGAACACATATTTTCAGTTCTTTTGGATCGTCAATAAGGAAGTATCATTTCAAAATCTGTATTTACATATTTTAAGCTACCACTACACTTTGTAGATTTTGTTTTTAAGTCTATTCAAATATATCATGGCTATTTTCTTAGCCAAAAATAAAGTTTAGATTTTTTATTTTATTTTTTTTTTTTTTTAGATCAAACAGAAAATAAAAGTTCCAATTTATTTTTTGTTGATGTTAGAGCAAGTAAAATGCATAATTTGGCATTTATTTCAATTCAAGAGTTTTCAGTTTCAGTGAGCTTGTAGTAAGAAGTTTCAGTAATCTATCATTCAAATAGAATTACCAGCTTTTGACCCTTAGTTTAATGACTGTTTGACTGAAAATTATTCAAGATCTACTCGATTCCTTGGTAGAATATTTCATCTACAGGAAAATTTTATATTTTACACATAAAATACTGTCAAATATAGATATAGGCAACATATGAATATGAAACTTGACATATGCTAGAATTATTCACAATACAAAGAACAAAATATAAAAACAGGGGGCAACATATCTCTAATTCAAACCAGTAAAAATACAGCCCAAAAGCAACATGACTTGTAGAAGGGTTTTGTTTTATTTGAAATCACCTTTATCCTTGTTTAATGAGAAATTACTGAATGTTTATAATGTACAAATTTCTTAAACTTCAATTTATCATTTTCTATAAACAATCAGTTTTGTGTAAGGAATTACTGAATGAAGTTTATAAATGTACAAAAACTTTTATGTAAGATTTACTATGGCAAAGAGATAAAATATAAAAACAAAATATGTAATTTGCTTTTGTTAAAAAAACAAAAATAAGAACATAAAGACAAAAAAGTTTATAACAGTCAAGAAACAAAGAAAAGCATTGCTGGAAACCTACATCAGGAGTAGATGAGCTTGTGTTGTAGCTACCAGTCTCTAACAAATACAATAAAGATGAACTAGTTTCCTCTTGTGATGAAGTACTTCCTGAACTCTCAGAGATTTTGGTTGGTTGTTTCATCGATTCATGTTTACTCTAGAAAGACAAATGGCAATATATTAATTGAGAATTGCACAATATTTTGTCTGTTCTAACACTTGCAATGGAAGCTATTTAAACAAAACACTTACTGGAAGTACAATGACAAGAACCAAATGTATTAAGATCACATGTTGTATAAAACTAAGAGCTTTAGGATAAAAGACCAATTGTTCACATTTACTAATTGAGAAATCAAACCAACTTTATAGTAAATGTCATGTCAAGAATTATCTCAAATTTGGAAACCTTTTAAAATTTACTTTGTTTAGTTTTTGCATTTTCTTTTTCGTTTACAAATCACATTCAGTAATGAAATTTAGGAATTATCAACTGGAAATGTGGAAGTAAATAAAAGTGATGATAAAACTGTTATTGAAATTTTCCAATGATACAGTAAGTGAAAGAATTTAACTAATTTTAATTGAATTAGGTTTAATTATTATTACCGATGTGTTATAGTTAACTTCTAATAACTACCTTTTATATTGAACTTGTCTTTGCTTTAAAGTGAATATATTTCTGTTTTAATCATTTTATAATTGATTGTAACTAAAGAATATTGCACACACACACACATATATATATGTTTATATTTTATTTTAATAGATACAATTTCTTTAAGGAAATACTCTGTTTTTTTTTAATTAAAAAGTATTAATTACATTTACCGGCCTAAATGTTCAAGTAATTTTGGAGAAAATATGCGTCCTGCAACAGGAATTGAACCTGTGACCTATATGGAACTGTCAGTTGATCTGACATGCTATACAACTTAGTTATAGAGAAGTGTCTGGTTAGCAAAGTCCAAATTAATTGGAAAATGCATATTTTCTACAAAATTTCTTGAACATTCAGGCTAGTAAAGGTAATTAATACTGTTTAATTAAAAATTACAGTATTTACTTAAATTATATCTATAAAAATAACACAAACAAAAAATGTATTAAATAATTGTCAGACTTAGTTCATTTCATTGTGTGTGTCTGCATATATTTTGCTGTAGCATACCTATGGACGATAATGGGTATGTCCCCATTCACATAAATACAGTAGTAAATACTGTATGTTGGTCTGCAGTTGGAGATTCATTGTGGAATTCACTTGACTCACTTCTAACAGTTGACTACTTCTTCTACACGCTGCTGGCAAATCTTATATGTGTTGTTCTTGTCCTAAGTATTATCATTCATTCATTACCAACCTTTGTGTGATTATTCTATTCAGTAACCTTCCTTAGGTTATAACATTTTGGCGCCAAAGCTTAACCAAAATTACAACATTAAAAAAAAAAGACATTGCCAAAATTGCATGTTAAAATTCACCAAAGCTTCATTGGGAAAAAAATTAAAATGGAAGACTTTCAAATGATACTACTTGAAATGGTTAAACGGCAAAATGAACAGCAAAAATGGTATGAACAAAAATTCGAAAAACTTGTGGAAATGTTGGTAGAACAACAGAAAATGTTTACAAATAATAAGAATGGATATTCTGAGAAGTTATCATAAATGCGATTGCAGAATTTCACTACCTACCAGAAAAAGTGTTAACTTTTTTTGTCGTATTTCTGTAGATACGAAGCTTTGTATAAGACTGTGCAAATTGGTCCAATGATAAAGAAAACTCAGACTTTTGCTAAGGAAACTAGGTGCTGTCGAACACACTAAGTTCATAAACTATATATTACCAAAGAAGAGTAGAGACCTAACATTTAAACAAACGGTTACTTTGCTTTCGGAAGTTTTCAGCCTGAAAATGTCTTTGTTTCATCAAAGATGGAAATGTATGAATTGAGTGAATAAAACAAAGATGACTTCATAATGTTTGCAAGCATTGTGAACGAAAATTGTGAAAAAACAAAGTGAAGAAGGAAAAAACATCACTCCTAACCCGTTACGCTTATGGAGAATTACATTGGTATAAGGATTGTCCTCACAAAAAGAAACAATGTTTCCAGTGTGTGAAAGAAAGGCATAAAAAAGCAACTGTAAGACAAAATTTAAGAAATGAGTAATTACATTAAAATTTCTAATGTGGATAAATCTCCTATAAGAAAATTTGTGCAGGTAAAAATCCTGAACAAAAATATCACATTGCAACTCGACAGTGGTTCTGATTTGAAAGTAATAAATGTTTATACATGGAGAAAATTGGGTAAACCAACATTAATGGTTGCCAAAAAAAAAAAAAAAAAAAAAAAAAATTGCTCGGAGTGTTACAGGACAGAAAATAAAATTCAAAGGTGAATTTATGATGAATGTAAACCTTGAAGTTGAGACTTTTTCTCATGAAAAACATGAATAACCTGTTTGGAACAGACTGGATAGGACAGTTCAATTTATGGAACAGTCTGATCAATTCATTCTGCCAAAAAGTGATAGGTTTTACTAAGGAAGCAGGAAGTTTAAAAGAATTAAAAAATAAATTCCCAGACGTATTTTCTGGTGGGTTAGGCAAGTGCAAGAAAATGAAAGCTAAATTTGAGCTAAAAGAAAACGTACAACTAGTTTTCAAAAAGAAAAGTAATGTACCATTTGGTTCACTAAAACAAACTGATGACGAGCTTGATAGACTCGAAAAAATGTGAGTTTTATTGAAGGTGGAATATAGTAATTGGGCTTTGCCAACTGTTTATATAAAGAAAAAGTTAAGAGATACGTAATTGTGCAGATTTTTCCACGGACTTAAATGATGACCTCAAAAGTTATTATTACTCACTTCTGGGGCCAAAAGAGGTTTTTGCACATCTTAGTGGGAGTTGGATATTTTCCAAAATTGACCTAAGTGACATGTGTCTTCAGATCCCAGTAAGCGAGTGATGTTCAAGATTACTGACCATAAATACACATCGTGGGATGTACAAATTTAATTGTTTGCCTTTCGGCATAAAGGTCATTCCAGTGATATTTCAGCAAGTAATGGACACAATGCTGAGTGAACTGGACTTTGTAGCTGTATATCTTGATGATATTTTGCTGAAAAGCGAAAACCCTGAAGAACATAAGAAAAAAATATTGACTCTGTACAGAGTAAAATCCAAAAGGGGGGGGTGTTGTAGCATACCTACAGACAATAATGGGTATGTCCCCATTCACATAAATACAGTAGTAAATACTGTATGTTGGTCTGCAGTTGGAGATTCATTGTGGAATTCACTTGACTCACTTCTAACAGTTGACTACTACTTCTAGGTGCCGTTAGTGAATCTTATGTGTTATTCTTGTCCTAAGTATTATCGCTCATTACCAACCTTTGTGCGATTATCCTATTCAGTAACCTTCTCTAGGCTACAATGTGTGTGTGTGTGTGTTGTATGGTTTTATGCTAATTTTACTTTTTAGTGTTTCTTTTTACCAATAAATATGTTTCTGTCATATCCTCTTCAGCCAGTGTGCCCTGAGGATCCATTTAGGTGAAACCTAGGTAAGTACTTTCTGGCTTGTTAGGATTTATATATTAGTTGAATCACTTGAATGATGAAAATCCACTTGAAACAAAAGATCTCTGATAAAAACTCTTGAATTGAATTTATACGATGCTTTAATTTTCTTGCTCTGGCTGTATACTTCCTATGAAAGCAAAATGAGCCATTTTCCCACATATTGTATCAAAATTATGTCCAATTCAGAAATTCATGACTCCTCATTTCTTCTCGAAAACCTGTTGCTTCATTCTGGAACAGACATTTACAAAATTGAACAAGCTTACAGAAAATGAAAAGAAAAACAAAAAAAAACAAAAACCCCTGACATTGATGTTTGCTGAAAAACTGAAAACATTTAATGAGCAATATGGACTGAAATTTTGTTTCAATCAAGTAATAAAGAATACAATAACTAAAGTTCATTATTGTAAGTTTATTTGGATTTTTCTTTTTTATCTGAGCATAAAGCACAAAAAAAAAGCACAACTTTAGGAAAAGAATATTCAGAGAGTTTTGAATTATTCCAATATAGAAAGTGAAGTAATGAAGAGAAGGAATGATTAAAATCTGAATGAGAATATTTCCGATAAATTCCAAATTGGCATCAATATATTTATTCTTTTGTCAATTACACCCAACTCTGATAGCTTTCATATATTTTCTGCAAACTCATTTGGAGGAGGAGAACAAACTTGTAGCAATATTTCAAAATTACTGCAGATTAATCTTTAGATATTCCTCAAATGAATTGAAAATTATTTGCATAGCAAAAACAAAATTAAAGCATTATAATGGCTGAATCTAAGAAAAATTGTTAAATGTTTATTTTCTTTTAGTTCTTCTCGGAAAGAAAAATATTACAGTGGATACAAAACTGAATAGAGATGTCCATTAAAAACAGATTGACAAAACCTGTCAGAATTAATACCCACCATTCCAAAAATAGGAGCATAAGTATTAATGTTTAAGTGATTGATTTTTTTTTTACAGTTTATCAACACTTTGTGGGCTATTTAAAACTGAAACATATTTTGGATTGTAAAAATAATTTTAAAGCAAATGAATATTGCATTAACAATTTTTTCAGAATAACAATGATTTTGTCCAAATACAAGTCCAACTATTTAACCCTAACTAGGGAGAAGAGATAGATTCATACCTTTCTAAGAATATTTTCATGTAAGTGATTGTAAGGAACCTAACTGGAATTTGAACTCTGCTCTCCAATTTCTCATTCAGAGTCACTATCCATTACACCACCTGTACATTCTGTGCATTAATAGATTATAGGTAGAAACCTATAATAGCAGACTTTTCATTAAGATTGTATTTTTATTTTTATATTACTTCAGCCTATTCTTTTATGAAAGATGGTGGAAAGAATAAACCTTGTTAAGCAAAGAGCTGTACCACATATTTATTCTGCATTAATAGGAGAGTCAGTAATCATAAATTAATGTCAAGATATATTTATATAGAACTGTGAAAATCATAATCATTTCATCCCCACAGATGAAGACAATGAAAAATTATTTTGTTTTCTATGTCTATAGTTAAGTGTTTTCAAACTCTATTGCAACTGGAAATACTTTTCTTAATCATCTTTGTTATTAAGATGAAATAATATTAAGAGCCAAATTAGTTTATAGTTTAATCTATATTGCAAATCGCTTTGGCATCATTTTTCTTCCACGTTCTCATGATTATAAAAGCACCCCCACCCCAGAATTATTTATGGTGGACTACATGAAAAAACTGAAGCTATGCAAACAGCACCACCTGAAAAAGATGTCTGAGATCAAATATAGTAAATGTTTTTTAAAAGAAAATAGAAGTTTGAAGAAAATTGATAGATTTTTATTCCACACTGTTATATACTGTACCTATGAACACTAATGAGTATGTCCCAATCCATATAAATACATTGGACACTATTGTAAGTGGGGTAATATGCTGTCTAATTAGTCCATCACTAGCAGTGGTTTACCTACTTTCACACAACTGGCAAGTATTGTATTTTGTTGATGATATAAAGATTACCATTTCATTTCCAACCTGTTTTGGTTATTCCTCATTCAGTAACCCTTTCTAGGTTACAATATACACTGAAGTACAATTTTTTAATCTTAATCTCACAAAGGAAAACAGGAGAAAGAAAGAAAGACTCACCATAGTGGAAGAAGTGATAGGGCCTTTCATACCCGGGCATATTGGATTTAGATGCATTGTTGATGAAAGAGTTGTAGAATCTTGCATTGCACCAGTTGTTTTGTTTGTTGTCATGCTGGGCAAATTAGTGGAGTAGGGAATTGGTGTAGCAAATGTCTGGAACATTCCTGGCATTGGTTGATAAAATCCTCCCATCAACTGAGTGCCTCCCACTAGTTGGGTGGGCATGAATGACATACCTAAATACAAAAAAAATATTAGCAGTCATAGACAAGTGATTGCAAGAGTATTACATATTTAATGAATATTCAGTGTTTCATAATTAGGAAAATTAATGATGAATTGGGAAAAACATTTTGTGTGACACATTTTGTCCTTTAGGACTACATTGGGCTAAAGTGATATTTACATCGATGCTACTACGCATGCGCATAGAGAGGAGAGGAATGCTAAAATTTTAAACTTCTAAATTTATTTTTAAATATGTGTTTGGGTATATAGTATAGCCAATTTCACTTAGTTTCTTTTTCTTTATGTATTTATCACTTTTGTTATAAGTATATTGTGATAATAGATCTGCCAAGAAAGGTGAAATGTAATTACCTGGACATAAATTTACCTGTGGTGGTCTAGCAATTAAAGTACTTTTTATACACTTTCATCTTAGTAAATGGCCTTCTCTTAATTAAAGGAGCATTTTTTTTTTTAAGTCGAAATTATAGTCAGCATTTTATTATGGCAGATACACAGGAGAAAGATAACATTTACCCAGAATTCAGCACAGACAGGAAGAGTAAGAGAGCAGATTTATGGATGGTTAAGTTGACCATTTAAGATAATAAAACTAATACTATTAACTCCACTTGATTCTACATATTTAACCAAATAGATGATTATGCTCTCTAATAATCATACACCAAGATATTTATCATAGAAAAAACAAAAAAGAAACAAAGCAAAGCTGATGTATCTTACCAGTTTGAGCATAACAAGGCCAATAAGTGTTTGATAGTGAGTTAGCAGTTGTATTGGAAGAATAGTTCATTTGGGTGGCTGTAGGAGTTGTGGTGTTGGTGGTCATATGAATTGCTGTGTCATATGGCAACACAGGGATTGCTTGTGAATACAGTCCCAGTTTAGGCTGTTGATATTGTGGAAATGTAGTATTATGAATATTTTGGAAACCAGGCTGTGATGGAAACTTGGGATATGACATGTTCACAGGGAAAGAAGGCCGATAGAATGATTGCTGCTTGTTGAAATAGGGACCAGGCTTTGTTTGGGAGCTTGACATGGTCGATTGTTCTGGATGCTGTACATTACTGGCTGACATGTAAGAGTCATCAAAGCGGGGCACTTTCAATGGATGTGAGTAAGTGTCTTGCTCTCCACTCTCGGGCAAGTGCCGCTTCGAACGCTTCACATTGCTATTACCACTGTTGTCTGAGCTGCGGCCACGGTCAAGCTCAAATAAACTGGAATCACTTGTTGCCTGCTGAACATATAAACGTTCCTGGAACTTTGTATGCATTCGTAGCACTTCTGGTGTGAGAGCAACAGGTTGGTACAAATTTTGTCCGTCAGAAAAAACTTGGCTTGGCTGAGAAAGTTCCTTGTGCATGATAAAATCTTCAAAATATTCATCGGCTGGTGGGCTGGTTGTTTCTCTTGGCTCTTGGTCAGACACTAAAACCTGAAAAGTAACAATTATATTAATATTAGAATGATGCCTATTATATGATGATGTTTTAATGCTGGGAATAGGCTTTTGCCATTAAATTTTGTCATTTTTGATTATCCATATTTTAATTGTCTCATGTGATACTTGTAAAGTGAGTTTTCATCACATATGGATAAGGAAAGCCAACTACCAACTCAACATTTAAACCAAGTTGATAGGTAAAAGACTTCCATTGTAAACAAATATATTTTTCATTATATTTTAAGTAAAAAGAAATAAATTTTTTTCAAAATCCAGTTAAGTAATCCATAAATTAACTGATTTTTGTTTAATCTTATTTTTCTGTAATACCTACATCCTTTTTAGAAGATTCTTAATAGACAGAAATCAATTATGGTAGAATCAAAGTTAATTTTGGATGATGAAAAATGACTTTAAAAACATATTAAAACTTTTTTTAAATATAAATTCTTTATGACTAACTTTATATTTTCTTGCAATTAAAGCCAAAATTAATATTCGAAAATTTCTAAAAAACAATTGCAACATTTAAAATTTCTTTTCCAAGTTGAAAATGAATGCAATAATTGACATAGATTGTGCAAACTGATGACATTTGAAATTTACTTGTACAGCTTTAAGATATTGAGAATTGTGTTGATTTTGAACAGCAAATTTGAAGAACTTGAAAATATCTTACTTGAAATTGTATATTTCAATTAATAATTCAAATAATTTTTTGTAAAATAAAAATTAGAAAAAAGAAGTACTGATTGGCTGTGTTTTAAAAATCATACGCATTCCAAACAATTCCAATTTAATAGAAACCAATTGTAACTTGGTGAAATGAAGAAAGAATAAACAGATGATGGATAAGTTACCTTTGTACTGCTACCAAAACTTGGAGGGTTTAGGATTGGAATATCCACTGAAGCAAAGTCAGCATCTTCACAGACATCACTATCTGCAACAGAAAAGAAAAAAAAACAATCAGGGAATTGATAACCACTTTTTAGAGTTTACACATTTTTTTTTTTTTGTTTGGCAAGTATTTTACAGACAAAACTCACAGCTCAGAAGTAACGGTCTGCTAAACTAGGCTGCTAACTATTACTCCACAGCAAGATGCCCACTTGCCTATTTTCATGATACATTATACACAAAACTAATGCAAATAATGCTGTAGGTTGATGAATACAAAGCAGATGTCGAATTTCATTTCTTCAATGTACATATAGAGCAACTTATTTACAATCTAGTAGAATTATTTTTCAATGCGCCATAATAACTTTCCTATATTTTAGTGTTTGGAAAGATTAATATGGAACTGTCGATCATTCCTTGATTTATAGTCAAGTGTTTTAAACACTAAGTACAAACACAATATTTAGTATTAAAAAAAAATTCACAATTTTAGTTAAATAATTTGGTATATATAAATATGATAATTATATGCTTTGTAATTAAGAAACAAAAAATTATGCTGGCATGCTGTAACATTTCATTATTATTTTTATGAGGTTTCCATTAAAGCAAAGAAGGCAATAAGTAGAATTTATTTTATCAAAACATTTTCTATTTTAATAAGGGATTTCATTTTTCTGCATAATTTTTGTTTCTCCTTGTACAAACAAGAGACAAAATAATTAGAGACCAAAACAAAGAAAGCATTTTGCACACTCACCACCAGCAAAGAGTTTTGGGCGTTTACCATCCAGGACTTCTTTGACATCTTTCAGATTGGTGCATTTTGAATCTCCTTTGTCGGAGTTATCTGAATGATAAGTTTTGGGTTGACTCAACAAAAACCTGCAGGAAAATAAAAAACAAATTACAAAAAGGGAAATCAATGAAAATAGCAAGAGGGGAAGAAAATGTCAAAATTTGTATTGCAGAAGTTTTCACTGCACAATGGAATATTAACAGGTAATATTTTCATAGGATTTTTCCAGGACTTCATTGTAAACAGGACTGATTTAAAACTTGAGAAAATTTTGAGTTCTTTCTAAGGGATGAAATATAAAAATATAAACTCATGTACATGTTTAATGGGTATAAATTTTACTTGGTTTAATTTTATGTCTGCTTAAAATACCTGAAAATTAATACAATATTAATTTTCAGGCATTTTAAGCAGACAAATTTTTTTTTCAATTCAGCATGAACATATAACATGATATTCAGAATACAAACATTCTATTCTGACTTTAAGAACTGAATTTGTCCAAATGTTATATTGTTCTGATTCTCTTGGACAATATTAACTACTTGTTGCTTGTCTGGGTCATGGAGCAATGTTTATCAAATTAGTCTCAATGGTCATTACTATAGAGTTCCATTTTCATTGGGTACCTCACTATTTTCACCTTGTATCAGACTAAGTTAAACTTAATAAATATCCTCATTTTGTCTATCTATAGCAGAACTTAGATGACATGACAGTATAGAGATAATGTTTAAAGTATCAATAAATTATTAGAATAATTCATTACAGTGAGCAAAAAGGAAACAAACCTCTCACTGTTTCCAAACCTCTAAGCATTTTGGCAGGCATTTGATAGTATACATGCTTTGAAAAATTTATAAGAAAAACTATTACACAAACAGGGGACTGTGAAAAAGGATTAGAATGGCTAAGAGAAAAGACAGGAACAAAATGAAATATGAGCTTGCTTTTATTAACCATTAAAGATTTTCTTATATTTTCTTTTATCTATTATGTTCTTTTTCTTTTCTTTTTTTCAAATTCTCTGGCGTGAAGATCAAAAATGAAAATTTTCTACACTAACCGTTTTATGTTATAAGAATAATTGAGTTGCTCATAAGTGATGGATGTGTCTGAATCAAAGAGGATTTGAGGAGAACTGGAATGAGATACTGCAGGGCTAACATTGCCATCATTCTGAAAGAAAGACAATACAATATATTAACTACATACAGCAGATCCCTCCCACACACACATACATACATACATACATTATATATATATATATATACTTTAAAGAGGAAGGTAAACTTATGAACATATATTTTTATCAATTACCTGAATATATTTGACTGAACTTTCTGTAAGTTTTAACACAAAATCAACATTTTCAACTATTTTTATATTCTACTTCATTTACACTGATTTCTTATTGTTCTGAACTTTTTCTGTACAGACATAATTTTGATCAGTTATGATGAATGATTAAATATATTCTTATTATAGTCATTCACTATCTGATGAGTGTCATGAAGGATTTCTGTAATATTTCAAATTATAGTCACATCATTTTCAAAACATTTGATTTATTTCTTAATATTTCAATCTATATTCACATCTGTTTCACATTTATCTGTTATTATGATGTGAATGAACAGTGAAATATGATCAAAATCAATCCTCTCATTTCTTAATCAAACCACTTATGGAAAGTAACAAGCTTATAGTTATTTTATAATTTAATCAGCTTAAAGAATAAACATTCTATAATGTTATATCACTAAAAAAAGTATACTATTCAGTAAATGTATCTATTTACTCAAAACATGTGGGTTAGATGCTAATGAGAATATATCAGAATATACCTGATAACGAATTACTTCTTCAACAAAACTGCCAGCAGTCATAAGTGCTTCTTTTGATTTACTCTCTGGCTTATTTTTTTCTGAAAGAAAAGAAAAAAAAAAGGTCAAATATGGTTAAATATTTTGAATTTTATAACAGCAGTCATCACAAAATTAAAATGCAATATTTTTTTTTCAACTCCTACTTTACTTTGAATGCTGTATTTTCTTTATTTTAATATTAGTTTAATCTTTTTAATAATTTATCCAGATTAAGACTGAATTTTCAAAGGAAATTATTTAATTTTTAAAATCTAATCACTAAATATTAACACTGAAAAGATGTGCAAGGGTCAAGTCAGAATTTATGTAACATCATTATACACAATTCTTGATTGCACTTCCCTTTTTTACTCTCAAGTTAGCATTTTGCATACAATAATTGCGATTCACATACCTGCAGATGTAATTTTGTTTTTATCTAATTGGCAGACAAAAAAATATGGTTCTAGTACAATTTATATTGTTGACATTGAAACCACAATAAATTGAAGTAATTTATGAAACATCAATTTATGCTATAATAAAGTTACATATATGCCAGTAAAATAAAATTAGACAGATATTTAAGTGAAATAGAATAATTCTCAGAACCATTTCAATGCTTCTCAGATATGATCCTATGTGTTAATCCAGTTGTGTTGTAACAAGTAACATTTAATATACAATGAAAATAATAATAAAAAGAACTATTTATTTCCTGTAATAAGCTTTCAAACCAAACAATGCTATATATTTATTTCTGCACATCCAATTTACATAATGATTTAATAATAAGAAGGGAAACATCAAGATAAACACATTTCTATAAGACATATACAGTCAATTAAATCATCAGTCTCTATTATATTATTATAAGTTTTAGCAAAAACAAACAACTATCGATTGCATTTTAACAGCGGCATATAAAGAGTGATAGTTACTCTACTTGCCAGACTAAAATACATAGTTTACAAAAAAGCATTGGTGGGTATGCTGCTCAATACAACTAATCCAAATTCCAAAACTTTGACAGTCCTACCAGTCATAAAATACCAGCATGTTGAATGAAGTGTAGTATTTTACATTTTATTAAAAATTAAATATGTATCTAATAATATGCTGACAAAATTTGTATAACAATTTTTTTTTTTTAATCTTGCTATAATATGCCAAATTTTTTTGTCTGTTATGTCTAACTTTTTGGCGAGAGTTATATCCCTTGCAATGTCGATTTATTTTGATATTTCTAGAACCCCATTGAAAGAACAGCAGCTGATCAAAATTCCCAGTGTGATCAATAGCACAGGAGGATCTAATGCTAATGTGAAAAGAGCCTCATGTGAGAGCCTAATAATAATAATAATAATAATAGTAGTAGTAAGGACTTAATAAAATATAAACCATTTTCGATGGCATGCGTAAACTAGTAAATAAATTATATATATCAATTCCAGAAAAAAAAAAAAAAAAAAAAAAAAAAAACATGGTTAACAATTATAACTAAAATTGTTTCCCTTGTATGCAGCCTGGTCATTATAAACGTAATGGGAAATGTCTTTTTTAACACTAATGACTAAGGAACTTCACATTCATTTCTCTCTGCATTGCATTAAGCGCACAAACCTAGGTCGGCTGTATTGTCTGTTTCTTTAGCCGAGGTCACAGCAGTAGTTGCAGCATCGAAGGAAGTGGATGGTTTTGATGGCAGAGTGATAATAGCAGAATCATCACTTGTTGTCTGTTGTAATAAGAGATCTTGAATCCTTCTCTGAAGTTTCTGTTGTTGCAGTTGAGTTTCTTCTGTCAAAATTGGGTACGCTTTGCTATTCTCCTCATCAAAGACATTGGGATTTTCTGGCACTCTGAAAACACAAAACACATTTTCAAACAGGTCAAAACGTCTCAATTTAAAGGAATGTTAAAATAAATTAATATATATATATATATATATATATATATATATACACACACACACAAAATTGGATGAAAATGTTAAGTACCAAAAGGAAAAACGATTATATCTTTTGGGAAATTAAGACTAACATGTGTCATACAAAAAGCTTAAAAGAGTATATAATTGTAACCATTTTCTTGAGAAACCCTAAGCACATGTGTGGCTATGAAGAAACAGTTAACCAAAATGAAGATCAGTTACCAACAATTGTAAATCAATTGGTATCTCTTGATCTTTGGAACTAACATGAAAAAAAACTATTAGAAATGAATATTTTTCAAAATAAACTCAACTCTAATCAGTGCCTATAATGAAATTATATGTTGTTAAATTACTTTATGAATGCATGGTAAATAAAATGCATCTGTTTTTGCTTACTCACCTGACCACTGTATGTTGCCCACTGATATGTTCAAACCATTTGGACCATTGATTGACTGAGCCAGACCATTCAGTCTCAACATATACCCAGTTTTGATTCCGTGTGCGCATTCTGTATGGCTCACTCTTAAAAGCCTTACCCTTTGAAGAGACAACTGAAACATTAAGTGAAATCAAATTAATTTCAAATTTAAAAATCTGCACTTAAAAAAGTTTTTTTTTTTTTTTTTATACATACAAGTTTGGATAAATTAGAAATTAAAGACAATGCTATAGAAATAGATGTCTAAAAAGAAGAGAACTTAAAATATTCAGACAAAAATAAATCAAAATTAGAATAAATTCCAGAACACCAGATTCAGAGATGCTCTTTCTGGAGATGATGCTTTCAATTTCTTGTGTACAACAAGACAATAAATTTGGGATTTAAAATTTAAATGAGTCCGTCTTGTACGTTTTTATTTTTTTAAGTTAAATAAACTATTTAAAAACGTGAATTTCAGAAAATTGTATATACATTATATATATATATTTTTATGGGGAAATACTAAAATAAAACTAATGTATATTTTATATATTTCTATTCATTCAGCATATATATATATATATATATATATATATATATATATATATATATATATATATATATATATATATATTTTTTTGTAAAATAATTCAAGTTTATAAAATTAGAATAACTATGTGATCAATCACATAAAATTAATGAAAATCAACAGTATTTGAATAAAGTTTAATAAAATTCAAAGAACATTTCATGTAAAATAATTTGCATAAACACAAAATAAATTTCAGATAAAAATTTAGAATCAACACAGGAAGACTTATAAAATTGAATTAAATTTGTAAACTCACTTCGCTGATAAACAGTGTATAGATAAGGCAAGTCATCTGGGTGGTACAACTCAAACACAGAAAGCCCAGTCAAATCCTGTGGCAGGAAACCCAGCAGTGTGATAGCACTAAAAGTCAAATTCAAAAAAGATACATCAATAAAGTACAAATACCAGGATAATTAGAGAGAAAGATAGAGAAAACATACCGAAAAACTATGATTAAGCTAAGACTGTAAAAGATATGCTCTCATAATAAACTTTATATATTGCATTTATTTTAGTAAACTTCACTATTAATTATTGTTAAATTGGAACCATTAAAAAGACCCATAGATGAACAGGACTTCTGATGTGAATAATAAGAACATTAAACTATCTTATTTATTATCTTATATCTAATTTAGTTGATGACAGATCCCTGAATGAAATCAAGTTGAAACTAAGTTTGAACAGTAAAATTCAATTAATATAGGACAAAATAATTTCCTTGATTTGTCTGAATATCTATTTTCAGTGATGAACACTTAGGCAGACAGAGAAAGTTCATAATAATACAATCTATTGTAACTTAGCCACCACAGATGAAATATTCTACTGAGAAAAGTAAAACAAAAATAATTTCAAAATTTGAATGACTAATGAAACCCATTCAGTTAAATTTTATGTTAATGAGTAATTGAGAAAAGTTATCAAATTGTGGTGATATCCAGAGATACAATTTGAGAATGAAGATTAATGTCTGAGCAAAATTATGAGGGTCACAATAAGAATATCAAGTTCACAATTAAACAAATTTATGCTAATTTTCTCTTGTTGTTTTCCAGTCATTTTTTCTTTCTGCAACAGAATATACATGCTTACTGAAATATTATTTTCAAAGAATATTTGAAAAAAAAAAAAAAAAAAAAAACTAAAGGATATTAAAATAACTTTCTATCAATAAAATATCTAATCTGCATTGAATTGTTAATGTGCATGACTTTTTTTCCATTTAGCACATCTTTGCCACACTTAATATGTTACCTAGTTCTACACAAATGCTAGATAATAGTTTTCATCTCTTGTGCAGGGTAATAGTTTAGTCATTTATAACCAGCTTGATCTCTTAGTCAACACTAACAGTCCAGAACAGATATGAAAAAAAATTTTCTTTTTGGTATTATAACTATGCTTGTGAGATGAAAATATTTTTACAGATATATTATTGGCAATGTACCAAAATAACTAAAGATTTGTACTTAAAACAAAAAAGATTTTCTGTATAGTTTTAATGTGAAATAAATTTATTTCAGTAACTAAACTATTATTCTGATACAACATTTCTATTGATAAATTCAAAGAATAACTTATAAATTTATTTTTTCAGTAGTAATGATAAAAAATGAGAATAATTTATTAATTATTATTGTTCTGAGAAAAATTTTAACATCTGTATATTGGAAATATTTATAAATGTATTTGTAACATTGGTGGTGATAAGAATTGCATCAACAAATGCATGTCTCCAAGAATGTATCAGTGAAGTGACAATAAGAATTTATAATATTCAGTTTTAGTTTATTTTTGAGCATAAATTTCTCAAATAACTATTTTACATTTTGGAGAACCTTCTTTTTCTTCTAAGATAAGAGAAATCCTTCACTTTAATGATTATGAAAATTTAAATCAAATGATTTTAAGACTAGTTTGTACAATGTGTTTAAACATATTCAAACTTAGATGTGTAAAGAAAAAGAAACCATATCATGGACTGTAGATTTCTCAAAGGCCACAAACTAAAAGATTTTTTGAATGCTGAGTCTAAAGACTGATTAAATGACAAGAAATAGTAACCAAACTAACTGTTAAATAATATTAATCTGTGGCCTTTGTCATTGTTGGAACAGATTAAAGCTTGGAGAAGAGTAAGTACTATGTTAACATTACAATCAATTATGTGTTCTTGATGAAACAAATGTTTTACTCTTTTTTCATTGCAAATGACCTATATTTAAACATGACTATAGAACAAACTTCATTAATCAGAAAGGAAGAGGAGGTAATTATCGATTATGGCTTAATTCCCTGAGCTCACACACACACACACACACACACACACACACAATACCTGCAGTTGAAAAGATTTGAATCAATATTATCAATGACATTAGGAAAGGACACTTACAAAAACTTTATTGTGATTACAATTAATGAGTCTAAAAGATTACTGACTGCAAATGATTTATGGCACAAAAATATAAATACAAAGACTAAATGATATTTATATAGGTCATTTAGCTCAAAATATTTTAGGTAAAGACAAATTTATAACAAACAAGAGTGTTTCTATAATGTACTTGTAGACAAGATAAAGAAATTGATTTTTTTCTCACATGAACTGATGCAATAATTTATATTATAAATTAACTTTATACTTTTAATGAAGAAAAATTTAGAAAATTTTATTAATGAAAATCCTTTCTGAACACTTACCTGTTACTGATGTAATTTAGGTTGCAGTAAAGCGTATGTGTTGTTGAAAAAGAAAAGTTCTTGGGCATTGAACCTACTAAAAAGAAAAAAAAAAGAAAAAAAATCTTTAACAAAGAGAATGCAAAGTGAGCATAAAATAATTTCTATTTTTCTTTAGATTTTAAACCAAATTTTAGTTTCTCTTAGTCTGAAAAGATATGTAGCCAACAATTTTGATGCATTTTCTAAGTAGTATCTTTTCCAGTGTACATATTTTTCAAAAAGGACTAGATGAAAAATATTGCTGAATAAACTTTTAAATAAATTGCTAAGTAATACTTTTAAATAATATTTTCATGGTATATCTCTTGAAAAACTGCAGTCAAGCTTTTATCAATGAAATAAACTGATTCAGTTAAGCATCACATTTAAATCTTGTGCTTGAATATATAAAATAGATTGATAAAATCTCAAAAATTGTTGCAGCTATTTTATAAACAAAAATCAGTGAAGCCAATAAGGTGTTGACACAATGGATGGATACAAAGAAGTATATAAATATACTTACCAATGTAAGCTGAATGAAGTGGAACACATTTTAAGATGAAATGCTTAGTTTTCTTCATGCCAGATACATCAACTCTTTCCTTTTCAGTTGTAGGTGCATCTAGGACTTGTGTAGTGACAGATGCTTGAAATGCGCAAAACTTATCTGGACGTTTCAGGCCATAGCCTTCATTCAAATGTTTATAGTACCTATGTAAAAAAAAATAATTACATCAATGGTTAACAAAATAGACTGTTTTAAACTATTTAGATACATCAATAAAAATAATGGTTAACTTTACTAAAGTTATTTATCATGTATTGCTGGGTTATACTCCATAGATAATATATCATGGAGCACCAGGCCGTTTTCTTTTTGATGGAGTCGGAAGTTAAACTATAGATACTAAAAACTTACAGGAGCAATATAAAATAAAACAGTTTCTTTCTCATTCATTAATATGTGGAAAATAGTATTTTTCTGTGGCTATCCCAGAATTCACACTTTGGTCAAAAGTTGCCGATAAGAGAAGCCTGCCAGTCTTGAAATTTTAATCACCCTCAATATTATTTTTATCTTGATTCTTTGCAACATCTCTCTACTTTTGTTTGATTGTTTATTTCTGTTCCTATAATATATATACGTTCATATTAAATTGTGCTAATGTAACATTAATTTGATTCACAGCATTTAACGGAAGCTCTCTCATTTTACTGACTGGCAATTTGCCAATGCAGTTTGAAAGAGTTGGTATTCAGGCTTATACCAAGTTAAAACTTAATTATTGTATTTTATATTGTATTTTTTTTTTATTCTCTCTCACTGACCTAACCGGCATCCAAACCCTTATCTCAATCTCTCCATGTGTTTCCTCAATAACCCTGACAGACACACTTCTCTTCTCAATCTCCTTTTTTTTTTTTTTTAACTGGTATCTCTGACTTGTCATACTAAGCTGCTGCCCTCTTGGCAACTGATCATGCGGCATCGATGCTTTCATTCCAACAAGAAAATACCAAGTAAAACCACGTTCATCTCCTTGGTTGTCACTTGCATGCTTGGCCGCCATAGCACACAGGAATAACTTCTTCCGACTGTACCAGGTTTTTCTAGTCAGAGTCCATCTTGCACATTTACAAATCTACCATTTGTCTGTGCATTGAATACTGTTGCCATATCTGGTCTGATGCCCCTGCAGTTCATGTGGGGAAAATTGTGAAAATGGCCTACCTCGGAAACGCGTTCGAATCTGCGCAGTATGTAAACACTGGTCCTTCCAACTGTAAAATAGAAAACCAAAATGGCGGCGCCCGCGTTTTATGCCGAGTGGTCTCGGTCAGTTAACGTGAAATCTCGTTGCCTTGTGATTCGCATGCAAATCGTGGTCGGTCCGCAGCTGTATAAAGCAGGCTCGTTTCTGCTGTTTCAAACAGAAGGCTTTCGCTCGTGAGAAGGTTGGACGCGCGACACACGGGTTTCTTTTGTGCCTACCTGCTATCACCAGTTGAATTGTTGAGTTACACACTTCAAGCTATTTCGCAATGGACAAGTTCGATCTAAAGTTGATCCCAGAATTCGACGGCTCCCCCACGGGCCTGACTATCGCTGAATGGTTTGAAAAGGCCAACGTGTTTGCAGGGTGTCCAAAATAAAGGAACCTGCATTAGTCATCCCACTGAGACTCACGGAGGAGCCTACACGAGTATATCAACAACTCGGGACGATGCTGACCTAGAAGAGATCAAGGACGCCCTGTATACGGCCTTTGGAATAGATCCATTCATCGCTTGGAAACAGTTCGTCGGACGACGGCTCGAGCCGGGTGAGACCGTGGATGTTTACCTGGCTGATTTGGCGAAGGCTGGCAGTATCGCTTACGGAGCAACGGACCGCATACTGGGGTGCGCCTTCCTGGCAGGGCTTCCAGACGACACCAGTCGGCTCCTGCGAGCGCCTTCAAGATTGGACACACTGGGAATTGACGAATTGCTAGCCAGGGCCCGAAACATCTTGAAGGACACTGAACAGATCGCGGCAGCCGTGAGAACGCCTGAGACACCGAGGAGGGCCCAAAGTGCTACAAGCGTGGACCCAACCATTTCTCTAGGGACTGCCGGAGCCGAAGTGACGTAGGAGGGAGCGCAGGCGAACCGTGCACACTACGCTGCTATCGCTGCAAAGAGTTAGGCCATGTAGCACAGGATTGCTCGAATGAGTCCGGGGACAAGGTGCTGTCGCAACCCTTGCCCCTCTCGTCAGTAAATGCGGCATTGCCTGTTATCAACGTGTACGTTGAGGGTAAACGATGTTCGCGCCGTTGACACTGGATGTTCCCGATCGATCGTTAGCGGATCGATCGCGTGACATGGAACAGTCAACAAATCGAGATTCGGACGATTGACGGGTGTCCCGGCCTGTTGTGGTGTCGGGACTGTGTCAGTCCTAACAGACGGAGGGAGTCATGCCAAAGTCGACGCCTTGGTGGCACGTCAAAGGCCCCTCGGGTACGACCTGCTACTTGGGATTGATGCGATCCGAAGCGTTAGGAGGTATGATGATCACGCCAGCCGGAAATGTGGAACTGGGTGAAAGAAGAAAGGTGTGTGCAGCCCTTTGCGTTAGTGAGCCGGATTTCACGCCTCCTTCAATTCCGGCGAGAGAGTGTGGACCGCCAGGTGGAAATGGGCCCAAAAAAGACCCGCCAGTTCAGCTTCGCAACAAGGTCGCTGAGTACAAAGTTCCAGACAGCATCAGAGGAAAATACGAAAAGAGCTTCAGCAGTGGATTGTGAACGGCTGGCTGATTCCGTACCCCCAGGAAAGACTGGGACCCCCAAAGGGTCTGATTCCCTTGATGGCAGTCGCAGGAGCAGAAACAGAAGGTGCGTCCCGTACTGGATTACCGCGAATTGAACGACTTTTGTGGATGCTTTCACTGCCGATGCAGAAGTGTGCGCATTATAAGTTGAGAACGGGCGGCGGGGGGAGTCAATGTGTCGCTTCTGGATCTGCGGAACGCATATCTTCAGATTCACATCGACGAAGCGCTGTGGCCATTTCAAACGGTTATTTTCAAAGGCCAACGCTTCTGTCTTACGCTGCTAGGATTTGGGCTAAATGTAGCGCCACTCATCATGAAATCCGTTATAGACGCCATCGCATCGCAAGACCGCACAATTGAAAGTGCCACATCAGCATACGTTGATGATATCTTCATTAATGAAAGTTTGGCCTCTGCATCGGCGTGTAAGACAACACTTTTCGGATTACGGTTTGGTGTGCAAGGATCCGTGCGACTGAGAGATGGAGCAAGAGTTCTTGGCTTGCAGGTCTGGGAAGAAAATGGCACCCTCCGATGGAAACGAGGAAGTCAAATTCGAAGCCCCTGATGTGTTGACCCGGGCGCGCTTATTTTCGCTGTGTGGGAAACTTGTTGGACACTTCCCAGTGTGTGGATGGCTCAGGTGGCAGTTGCATTCGCCAAGCGCCTGGCAACCGCAGCAACCAATGGATGGGATGATAACATCAAAGATCCCTCTCTGTCGCATACTAGCAGAGATGTTAAGTAGAGGCGGAACTGGATCCCGCCGGAGGAGACTGGTGCATGAGTGGTGACGAGATCACAGTCTGGGTGGATGCGAGTTCCGTGGCGACAGGAGTGGCATTGGAAGTAAACGGAAATGTCATCGAAGATGCGTGCTGGCTGCGTCCGACTAATGATGCCAGGCACATTAATTTGGCTGAACTCGATGCGCGCTTAAAGGAGTGAATCTGGCTCTCCAGTGGGGGCGACAACGTTGCACTTGGTCACTGATTCGGCGCGTGTGCACCGGTGGATTTCAGACACCTTGACCGGGAAGGCACGGGTGAACACAAGGGCGGCTGGTGAGATGCTGGTCAGGCGACGGCTGGGCATTTTTTGCGATCGTTGGTGGACGAATATGGATTGACCGTGAGACGTGACACTTGTGCAGTCCTGTCAGAACCGTGCAGATCGCCTCACCAGAGTACCGCACAGGTGGCTAGAACTGCTCAAGAGAGGAGAACCGCACTCGAGAGCTGTGCAGTGGCAGGGGAGACGACTGGATGAGGACCAGGTTGCCAGTACGCATCGTCAATGCGGACATCCGGGCGTGAAACGAACTCTGTACTTCGCCAGGTTAGTCGACCCGCAGGTGTCCAGAGAAAGCGTTAAACCGTTGTGAAGGCCTGCACAACCTGTCAGTCGATCGATCCGCACCCGCTCACTGGGAAAGAGGAGAACTGAGCGTGAAGAGCAACTGGAGCAGACTGGCAATGGACATAACTCACTACAATGGTGAGAATTTTTAACACTCATTGATTGCGGTCCCTCCAGGTTCATGGGTATGGCGCCGCCAGCGCAGACAAGACGCGAGCACCGCTATTCGACTGTTGGAGAATGTTTTCCTGAGCGAGGCCCACCCATGGAAATACTGACGGATAACGATACTGCGCTCACCAGTAAAGATTTTAAAGAATTTGCGGACACTTGGAACGCATCTGCGGTTTCGATGTGCCTACTCGCCAAGTGGAAACGGCATCGTGGAGCGGAACCACAGAACCATCAAGACCATCGCAGCCAGGAAGGGCTGCACAGTTTCGAAGCGGTTTACTGGTATAATGTCGCCCCGGCGGATAACATTTCACCATCCACGGCGCCCGGCTGATGCACTGCACAAATATCATGTCCGCGTGAAGGGCATCGGGCCAACCCGCTGCCTGAACTAGAAGTGACTGGAGGGAGATTGAAAAAGGAGACATCGTTTGGGTCAAAAACCCACGCGCAAGTGTACGACAAAAGTACGGCACTGGGCGGTTACGGAGGTTATCAGCCCGCAATCTGTGAGAGTTGATGGGGTGCCTCGTCACATTAAAGACTTGCGACCGGTGACGCAATCACTACCGCTACCGGAGCGATGAAAGCGATTCCGAGTCTGGGAGTAGTGAGCGTTCAATCTGCCTTTGAGTTAGACCTGCAGGGCAGCGATTCTGATAACGGCAGCCTCCCCGGCGGACGCAGTGTTTACCGACACTCAAACCACAGACGAGAACACGCGAGGGATGAAGCTTGTGTTATCCCCTTCGGAGAGGGACTCGACGGCGACGATCGCCACCTCCCTGCCCTGTTTGTGATCATGAGATCAGGGGAGTGTGGGGAAAATTGTGAAAATGGCCTACCTCGAAACGCGTCAATCTGGCGCAGTATGTAAACACTGGTCCTTCCAACTGTAAAAAAGAAAACCAAAATGGCGGCGCCCGCTTTTATGCCGAGTGGTCTCGGTCAGTTAACGGAAATCTGCGTTGCCTTTGTGATTCGCATGCAAATCGTGGTCGGTCCGCAGCTGTATAAAGCAGGCTCGCTTCTGCTGTTTCAAACAGAAGGCTTTCGCTCGTGAGAAGGTTGGACGCATGGTTACACCGGGTTTCTTTGTGCCTACCTGCTATCACCAGTTGAATTGTTGAGTTACACACTTCAGGTTCTTGACAAAATCCAAAGAAGGATCAGCAATGTAATTGATCCTGACTTAGCATCTCAACTTCAGTCACTTTCTCACAGATGTGATGTGGCTTCCTTCTGTCTTTTCTACAAATATTTTCATAGCAACTGATCTGGCAAGCTTTTTTTCCCCTGGTGTCTTGAATACATGAATTTAACCCTTTTACTGTTGAAATAGCTAAATGCAACCACCACTTTTACAGTTTCTTTGCTTGCACTTCCCAACAGTTGAACTCCCTTCTGCTTAGCTACTTCACTGATGACTACAATTTTCAAAAATTTAAATGCAATGTCAATTGCCATCTTCTGTTATCTTGAACCCCAGTCATCTTTTATCCTTTTTTCAATACCCCCTATACCTAGTCTTTTCTCACACTGTAACTCCCTGTAACACTCCTCCCACTTTGCTTGGGGTAAAATGATTAAAAAAAAAAAATCCAATGGAGAACTTCATATAATCGCAAACATTTAATAGGTCATTCTTACAACTCCCTCACTGTTTTATTATTTAACAATCACACATTTAGTTTTTGACAATACCTGTGTATGAATATATTGCCAAACATTATTTTAAAATAAGATTATACATCTCTTGGTGATCCAAGTCATTTGGGATAAAAATGAAAGATACAAGATTCAAAGTATAGTCAAGAAATGATTAACAATAAATCTGGAACAGTTTAACTGTTGATTGAAATAGAGAGCCAATATGAGACCAAACAAGCATCCATTTCATAGGGGGAACAAAAACACTAATATATTGGAAGATGAAAGTTAAAATGCTAAATAACATTTTATTTAGGAATCCATAGAAATTTACTTTCAGAACTGTATATTACTCTGAACAAAGAAAGTATGAAAGAATTTCATTTAGTAATTCACTGTGGAGTTAACAAATGAGTGATCTCACAGGCAAATAAAAGTATGACTTTGGCCAGAATCACAAAAATTATATCATACTTTTTATGTGGAAGTACTGATAAAACAATGGCCTGCAAATACTATTTAAGTTGAGAATTCTATATTGCAGTACAATAAAAATATAACTAAGTTCAGTCCTGTCAGCCCAAATTATAAACACAAGAAACATACAAACGAACAACTTTTAACAAACATAAGATGTAACTTACCTAAGTCGGAAATAAATAACTTTTTCTTTTTGGCTTACTGGAAGAAAAGATCAAAAATACATTGTCAGGTTAAAGTTAAGAATTTAAAATATATTAAATAAATTGTATGCCAGTGTAAAAAATAATTTTTCCATTGCAATAGTATTGCACATTATACATAGAAAACTGAAAAAGAACATTAATAAAATTTTAAGTGGCAGGGAGGATTAACACAGACAAAATAAAAATTTTGAAAATATAATTAGCATTTAAATAGCTCTACAATTTTGATATGAGGTTGTATTCAAATATAGTTTTCTTCTTTATGGTGTGCTGAAAAGTTACTGACTCAAACAACTTTCCCAAAAATTGATTATTTTTTGAGAGGAGCTTTTGGGTTGGTGGGGAGGTGAGAACTTTTCAGCATCCCCATGTGTGTATGTATGACACACACTATCAAAATAAATTTATGTAGTACTACCACACTCTGTTCATTATCATCTTCAATCTTTCTTTCTATTTAAAACTGTTAATGATAAAAAAAAATCTTACAATCTTAAGAATATTCACATGTGAAACAAAAATTAACATCTATTAATAATTCTAAAAGAATTCAGTATTATTTAATAATTATACTGCAACAATGAGAAAGTTACAATTAACCATTTGCTTTGGATGAATGCAAATGAAAATGTTGAGATTAAAAGAAAATAATGAAATAAGAATTTGAATAAATAAACGCCTGCTGTATTGATTTACCTGTTCCTCCAGGATCTGTAAATCTCTTGAAGACACTCTCATTTTTTGACAGCATATTGTTCACAGTTATAATGTCCTTTCGTGATGTGAAACTTGTCAGCAGATGCCCATGCCAACTGTCCTGTTTAAAAGAAAAATAATCTCAGATATAGTTTTGTTTCACTGAGGAATACATAACTTGATTATTATTTTTCCAATAATAACTGTATAATGACTAATAAAGCTGTAAATTTTTAAATAGGTCATATAAAATATAAATGACAGACTTAAAAGAATAAATGCAATTTTATTTTTGACTTATAGAAAAAACTTACTTTAGGATAGCCAAGATATTGGAGCAAGGAAGAATCAACAGATTCCACTCGGCAGTCCAGTGTAACTGCAACCATGAAGGTTTCCTTAATTAAAGAAAATTAATCAAATAAAACAAAGAGAAAAACAATATTTTGCTTCTTGATAGAAGTTCTTTGAATTTCACAAAATGTCAGTTGAAAAGAAAAAAAAAACAACTTTAAAAGTTTATTTAAAATCAAAATACAAAACTACATAATTTAAATTTTCTTGATTTTGCCAGAAAGAAGGAATGAATGACTATTTATCTGGCATAATAAAATGTAGCAAGGTGCTGATATACTTGCATAGGGCTATATTTCAGGACTCGGCAAAGATCCAATCACACTATTTTTTTTTACAAAACTAATGAAAGGATTCATGGAAATATTTGCACTATTAATGTATAAAATGTTGCATGTAAGTATTAGAGTAGATCATATGTCACTATTTTGATACAGCAACAGTTTTTGGAATTTTACCAGATTTTCCAAGTTTCAAATTATTAGCAAGGTTACTCAAACTCCATTAAACATTACATTGGAATTAAAAATTATAGTATACTTGCAGAATGTATACAAAATTTACAAAGAGAAATATTTTGAACAAAAAGCTGAAGTCAGTATTATTATAACAGGTACGTCCAAAAATTCAGTATACCTAAGGTTTAAATGTATTTTCATAAATGAAAAATCTTTCTTGAAGCTTTCTTTTTAGTCTCAGTTGAAAGCTAATGGATTAAATTTTCTAATTTCAGAAAGCAAAATACTGTAGTGTATTTTAAATAAAAATTAGAATGATTTTTAGTAGATTCATTTTTTTTTCTTTCAGAAAAACCAATCAAAACAGCCATTTTTAATTTTTTTGACAGATTGTAAACAAAACTTAATTCTCAGTTTTAAAAATCTTGTAAAAATAAAATATACATTTCTGAAACATAATTTGCAGAAAATTAGCAAATTCAAAGTTAAATTAATCTGCTCTAAAACGAATATTACTTTTAGCATAAAATTTTTTATAAAAGCATTTCTTAACCATGGGGTCTTGTTATACTCGTGCCTCCATTGATATATCGACAGCCAAAGGTGTTGACGGGTTATGTATGGTGAACCAACCAGAATTGTCATAAATTTACAAATTCTAAGTAAAAACTTTGTTTCTGTTTTTTAACTACCAGGTAATTTTTCAAAATTAACAAAATATTTTAAGCAATTAATTAATATTTTAGTGAATTTTTTTTTAGAAGATGCTTACTGAAAATATAATAAAATTTAAAATGTTATAAAAAAAATAAAACATAAATAACATTTCATAAATTATTGAGTTCCTTTAATTTTTTAATTGTAATTTTGGTTAATTTTTTTTTTATGGTCAACAGTGTACACATTTAAAATTTTTTGTTTCAAATCAGATTAATTTAACTTTAAATTTGCTAATTTCCCTGAAATAACGTCTCATAAAAATATATTGTATTTTACAAAATTTTTAAAAACAAGAATTCATTTTTCTTTACAAAAAAAAGTGGTAAGATTTTTTATTGCTTTTTTTTTTAAACGGAAAAAAAAAAAAAAAAAAAAAAACATTCTAATCAAAAAAATAATTTCTGTTTGAAGTACACCAGAGTATTTTGTTTATTGGAAATAGTAAAAAGTTTTTTATTTTTTAATATTTTAACTTTCAATTAAAGCTACAAGAAATTTTTGTTTTTTAAAATTCATTTTTAAAACTTAGTTATTGCAAATTAGTGGAGGTACCTACCACAATTAAAAATAAAATGAGAAAAGAAAAATTTCAAATGTAAATGAAATAAAGTATAAAAATAATTAAACTAAACACTAGGTTTAAAATAATGTAAAGAGTTACCTTCCAAACGTTTATTTTTTTTTTTTTTATCAAAATATAACTCACAAAAAAGAATAAAGTAACTTAAAAAAATTAAAAAACTAAATCAAAACAAATTATTTTTCCTAGGTAAAACTAAAAGGTTTGAGTGTAATGGGGACAATCCTTGAAAAATGTGACCTTTTAACGATCATGTTGCATATAAAACACTATACTTAAAAAAAACATTTAGATACACAAAAAAAAAATAATTTTTAGTTATTGTAAAAATTTTTGGTGGTATGATTTGTATTAACCTTTTTAATTTTTGCTTAGTAAATATTACCTTAATTTAATAACTTACACACACAAAAAAAAAAAAAAAAAAAAAAAAAAGATTTTTTAACCAAAATTCCAAACATGTTAGATAGGAGTAAAAAAATTTTTTTAAATAATTAAAAAAATGCTTTTGTCTTTCCTCTTAACAACAACAAACATTTTGACAATAAAAATTTGTTTTTATTAAGTTTGGGGCATTTTTGCATCATGGTATGCCCTTTTTTCAGCGAATTATAATGATAAAGTTATAAAGACAATATGAAATGTATGTTCTATATTCTGAAATTAATCCATTGATTTTGTGACTAGTTGTATTTCTAAATATAGAGAAATTTATTTACTGAAAATAAAGTTTGAACAAAGTAACTATAAACCATTTTTTTTTCTATCCTCTTCCAGCTGCAATAATGGAGAAAGCATTACCGTGAACCATCGCCACTCTGTTTCGTGAGGCTCGTCCCTTAATCGAGATGCAATTGCACCAATCATCCGAAGGAATGCCATTGAATGAGGGCCAATAACCCCAGAAGTGTCCACTGCCACAGCAGTAAAAAAAAAATCTATCAGCAAGAGAAGAATATTTAACTATTTTTTTTATATCTCTGCGTCCTGGGTGACGGACTCTGGCTCAAACGCGGACCTGATCAAATTACCAGCCGAAAATGTATCCGTACAGGTCACATCCCAAATCAACGACTTCTCCATTTTAAAAGGAAAAATGTTAATGCCATCCGGCTGCTTTCCATCACCATGGTCGAGGCCTACGGGTTCGATTTGGGAAGGGAACCCAGCTGCATACAAAACTCTTCTGATGATGTTTATTGCTGCATGCCGTGGAAAGCGGACGGCACTACGACAGGTGAGAAGATGCAAGCCAAACTCATCGATGGAAGCTGCATCTGTGACGCTCACATAATTTGAGTCCAAGACAGATTGCGATTCTGACCCGAGTGCACTCATCATCTAGAAGGGTACTGGTAGATGAAGAGGGCACTGCGTTGAGCCAGGTGCCACTACTCAGTCGTGAAGCAGATAGTAGACAGGTGAGGCAATGCTGATCCAGAAAGAGCCTCAAATTAGTAAAATTGGCCTTGCATTTTATTTTATCCCAGCTTTTTTGTTTTGATATATCTAGTGGGATAGAAAGTAATTCTTGGGCCCAGAGGCTGCAAGCTTGTCCGAAAGAACTATCCAAGAAACACTGAGATGATCCACAGAGTATCTCATCAATTAATTCGTGACTGGACGAAAGTGAAGAAAGATATGCTGGAAGGGCCAAATCTACTGCTGATCGAAGGCCCAGACCTCCAAACACAAAGGGAGCTTTGCCTGCCTACAGCCTGTGTCGTCGAAATTAATGTTGCAAATTAGCTCCACGCATCTCTTAATTGTGATACATATCTCATTTAAGAAATCCTGTTTGAGGTAGCAAGGGGCACTTCGGAGAGTGTAGAGGAAACTTGGTAGCGAAAAACTGTTCTTCAAGAAGAAGAGGGCTGGATGTGTATCAATTAATTGCAATTTGTCAGTCATTCTTGTTAGAATGACATGCTTAGTATCCAAACACTCTCGTGTGGCCATTGGAATGACTGGAGAACCAAGAATGTGTAATTCCTCCTTAGGTGTTATTTTTATATCCTCAAGGATAGCACTCTCGAAATCATCTGCACTATAATTCAAGTTTATTATCTCTGACTTGGATGAGTTAATCTCAAGTCCAAGCAGAAATAAAGCAGGAATAACTCGTCGGAGGTCAGCAGATACGGCCTCAATGGATCCTCCCAACGTTGTATTGTCAAGATGCCACATATTGAAAGGAGAGGTGATGGAACGAGCTACCCCGTCGACAGCCATCGCAAATAGTAGCGGACCAATTGGATCACCTTGCTGGATTCCAGTAGCAGAAGAGATAATATTATCGGAGGCGATCAACATACTTGGATGACTATACAAAAGATGAGCCAGTTTTAATATGAGTCCGTTGATGGCAAACTTCCAGGGAATGATCCCTTCTGATGCTATTGAAAACATTTTTCATATCCAATTTTAATAAGATACGGAGGGAAGCAGATGATGCATTCTTGAAAAATGATCTTGTGGCATGAACCGCGGCTTCACATCCGCCCTGTATGCGTACCCCAAGCTGGACAGGTTGCAATTCATGCCCTATCTCCTTCCCAACATCTCTACAAGCAATTTTTGCTGCGAGACGACGAAAAATGTTACCAACAGTGATAGGGCGGATACCTCCATATTTTTTTTTTTTTTAAAGCTGTTAAGTTGCATTTCTTCATATGAAACTGACTGCACAATATTCAGAATAATATTCCAAAGTTCATCTTTACTGGGAAATTGAAAACCTTTCTCCTCAAGGGAACTCCATGCTTTCAATCAGGTCAGTCGCACAAACAAGTTGGCTGCTTTGTCAAATGAATGTTTTTGAAACCCATTTTAATCAATTCTTCATTAGTTTTCTTTGGCAAATATGATGGAGCATTGTTTTGCATAAAAATAATTTTTGAAAGTGTTTGGCTGCATCTTTAAGCATAGCTCTATGTGTGCCTTCACAACAAAACTGCTCTCTTTAATTGTCTGAGAGAACCTGTTTTGCCTTTCATCATCATGGCTGATGCTAATCCCCAGGAGAGGCTAATGTTTTCTGCTGACATGAAAGGGAAAGATTGTATTGAATCAATTGCTAGGCCTGTTGCAAGGAAAGTTGGTTCCGTATTGGGATAGATATTTTTCTTGCCAGAATCTATCTTACACATTTATAAGTCTACAATTCATCCATGCATTGAATAGTGCTGTCACATCTGGTCTGGTGCTTCTACTTTGGATTTAGAAATTCTTGATAAAATCTATAGAAGAATCTACAATATTATTGGTCCTGACCTGGCACCTTGGCTTCAGTAATTTTCCCACTGCCATAAAATAACTTTCCTGTGCCTTTTCTATAAATATTTCCATGGTAATTCTTTTGAAGAGCTTTCCTCTTTGGTACTTAGACTTTATGAAGTTAAGCACAGTACTAGATTGTCTTCAAGTTCTCATTTTACAGTTGAAATGATTAGATGCAACAGTAAGTTCAAAGTTAACAGTTTCTTCTCTCATACTTCTCATTTGTGGAACTCTCTTCCGGCTTCTTGCTTTCCAGTCAAGTTTCATCTTCAAAAATTTTAAATGTAATGCTGTTATCTTCTGTCTTCTTCATTTCTTTTTGTTCTCTCTCAATGTTTTTTTTTTTTCTAAAACTCTCACACTGATTAACTCCTTGCTTAGTGGCTTAATAGCCTTGTTTGGGATAAAATAAAAAAAATAGATATTGCTGTTTAGATTCTAATAAGTATTTAGTATGAAGTATAATATTTGAAAATTTTGGTGTCAAAATAAAAGTATGTTTATATGCTTAATTCTTAGTGGCAATAAACTTGTTTTTTTCTGACTAAAAATGTAAAACAAAAAAAATATAGCTAGAAAATAAAAGTGAAATTTAATTTCTGTGGTACATTACTTTTTGTGGCTTGCTTTGTATTTCTGTACTCCGAGCAATACTGCTGCCACTGTACTGACTGACACTTCCAGTTGCACTGTCATCAAATGAATTGAATTTGGATTCATCTTTGTTATCTGGAAAAAAAAAAAAAAAGAAAAGAAAGCAACATTTGCATTTAGAAATAAAAATTAAATTAAATTAGATCTACAATATCAATAAAACTACTTCAAAGCTATATATTGACTGTGGTAGTTATGGCAGATAGTCAACTAAAACATGTTTATACTAACTTAAATTGAAATAAATCAAAATATATCAACATGACATTATAACAAAATCTGTGCTTAAAATAAATAATATAAAAATAGTTTGATATTAGTCTTTTTAAAATGAAATACATAATAGTAACAAAATACATAATAGTAACAAATATCTTTATTGTATATTGAACCAAAAAAAAAAAAAAAAACATTAAATATTACAGCTGTATCTTTTACTAACAAAAACAATTTTTTAATGTTTTTCTTTTTTATTATCAATTAATCCTTAAAAGAATGGGACATCATTCTGCCTCTTCCTTTATCGGATTATAAAACACAAGAGATAATAGGACATAAGATTGACACAAGTGATTGAAGTGGCTTGACTGTTCCATTACTGGGTTCTTTCAAATATTTCATATCTATTAATCATTTAAGGATTGAAACTTCAATTAAGATAATATCTCAACTTCTTTAATTAAAGACATATGTTATCTATCATTTCCCAATAAAATTGTTAAATTCTAGGTCATAAAATCTAGCAACGTCAAAAAAGAAGAGTGCTTGTAATCAACCAAACATACATGTTGACCAAAGTTAGAGAATGAGATCAACACTAACAACAGCTGATACAACATAATGTTAGTTAAAAATCAACAATAAGGTCTTCTTTCTGTTAAAGAACAAAGCAACAGTTGACTAATGTCAAGAAAAGAAGATGGCAAAAGGACTGACCTTTCAAATTCTTCAGTTTATCAATGACATGCTGTAATGCTTTTAATGTGCCAGTCTTTTTCCCACGCTCCTTGGACGGAGGTACCATAGATTTTATTTGTTGGATGTAAGCTTTTACTTTTTCTTTCTTGAGTTTCCTAAATTCGTGGCCAGTAACATGCATGCTACTGTAGAATGAAAAAACAAATCAAATGAAACTATTTTAAATAATTGTCACATATAAAGAGAAGGATAGAATTCTGTATTCATGTGCACATGACTCATCTTTACAAAATATTGAAGAAGTGTTTTAGCCTTAATAAACATGGCAGAGAAATCTTCCATTTGTACTGTTAGCTAAAAATATCTGTATTAATCCAGAAGTATAACTGGAAAAAAACTTTTCTCAGGCTCTTTAGCTTATTTTAAATATTTCATAGTTGATTTCATTTAGAAAAGCACACAAGTAGCCATAAGACAAATGTTTGAAACTGAGATAAAGCATTTTTATTATTCTTTATTATTCCAAACTAGAGTTGAAGATAATTAAATAATCTTAAATTAAAGAGAGAATGAAATCAGATATGTTATATCATATACAAGGTGAAAATTATACATTGTCCTTTCTGGAAAAAGGAAAAAATAATGGACAGGGAACCACATTGGCAAGTATATAAAGGTGAAAGTAGTGGAATATATGAATTTCTCTAAAGACTATATAAATATTCGGAATATAGAATTCAATTTTATGTAGGAAAAGTTATTGCTCAAGAGAAAAACAAAACAAAAAGCCATTCATATATAAAAAAAATGTACTGTTTCATTTTATTTCAGTTTGGCTTAAGAATTTGTGTGCATACAAGGATTGTGCTTAGATTTGTGAAATGCGCTTATTAAAAAGGTGGAGTAGAGAGATTACCAGATGTAATATAAACCTGAGGAAGGTCAATGAACATATTGGCTGAAACAGTGTGTTAGAAACAGACAAGAAGCAGGTTCTAGTCCAAACAATTTGTAAATTAGCAATAAGAACTTTTATTTTGGGATATATTAAAGGACTAGGGTAGAAAAGTAAGTAATATATAGGTAATACAGTATAAAACCATCTTTATTTTGGCATTTACTCTCTAGTCACAAATATAGGGAAAGAATTGGAGTAGTGGGTGGAAAGAAAGAAATGCTAATACTGAGTATTCTACTCATTGTTATTCACACAAGAAAAAAATGTTAACAAGTGTTTATATTAATATTAATATGCAAGTGTTGAAATAAGAATGTTCTGGGTAGAAATATTTCAAAAAATTAATTTCCGGCATGTGTGTGTGGGGGAATGTCTATTTGGAACTTGAAGTTTCTTTCAAAAGAAAAATTCATACATTCTATGCAAAGAATATTATTAAGCAAAAGCTGTTAATCTGCTTATTAGCTGCTGCTGTCATCTTAACTTTAATCTTTACAAAGACAATATATTTTGGTCATATAATGATTACTAAGTAAATATACACTAAACCAATCTTTTAGAGTAGAAGGGATTTCTTTTTCCTTGTTACATGCTAAATGATATAAATGACATTTGTGCATTATTAGTGTCCTTAGTAAAGGTAAGTCTAACAAGATAGAAAGGCATGAAGCAGCTTACCTGCACCCACTTGTAGATGGGTGGTCATCAGTAGTTTCACTGCTGAATGATATGCTCACACTACTGGCACTGCCCCTGCAAAGAAACAAAAAGAAAAACAAAATTAAGCAAATTTGAGAATTAAACGGAAAAATGAGATTTCTCTGAAACTCGATATTTGCCTTACCATTTGTTATGCAACAGTGAATCAATATCAGGAATTCAGTTGAAGACAAGTGTCTATAAAGGATCAGAAAAATAGCTTTTACTTTTTTTATTTTTATTTTTTTATATAGATTTTTTTAAAATTAGGTCTTCATTTATCTAAATATAGCTTTAGTATTGCTATAAATTAGTAGTAAAATCCCCTAGTGCTGACATGGTTAGAATAGTTTCTCAGATGATCTTTCAACTTTTATTTTATGTACATTGAACATAGGAATTAATAAAAAAAGAGGAAGCAAAATATAATGAGTAGTAATATTTTGGGGAACAATTACAAATACTTTGACCAAGTAGCATTTCTTTAGAAAACAACTTTTTCATATGAGAGCTAGCAAAAGACTTTTGACATTTCTAATGACCCTGATAATGAAACTAAACAGATGAATATATTATTTCTTATTCCTTATAGAAAAAAAATACAAAGTTGACAAATCAACATTTAAGAATTAGCTTGGAACCATGAAAAAAAAAAAAAAAAATGGCAAAATGATGTGGATATGATGTTAGGCCTTTGAGGAATGTTACATGAAGCCACTTGATTAATGCAAGAAAGTAAAACAGTTCAAGAATTAAATATATACAAGATGATGAAGGGTTTTCAGAGAAACAATCTTGAATTATGTTAAAAAGATTAAAAAATAAAACGCATGAAGATATGTGAATCTATTTTTTTTTGAGAAAATACAAGTAAACAGATGTTTTATAATGATGTATTAGCCAACAAATTGATTTGATAGCAAAAATACTGAAAATCTGTCACTTTATGAAGAAACTATATTTTCTCCAACTACTTCATTAGCACTGAACAGTTGAAATATATGCAAATTTGTATTGAGACAAATGTGTATCCCTTTATTCAAACAATTCAACATCTAAATTTTCAACTTACAGGAAAATAATTGTAATTTTTAATGAAATGCTTCATTTGCAACTTTTAGAGCATTAATATTTTTCCAAGATCACAGAAAACACATAAAAAAAACTATATATTTTAAATATATAAACAATTTGGAAAGATGAAGTATCAAAAGGATAAAATAAATTGTCTAACATCAGAAATCTACTTTTATCATTATTATTGTTTCTTAATAAATATTTTTGTTTGAGTGCAGTCATTTGTTAGCTATTCTTTGTAGAAAAAATATTAAAAAAAATTCTTCTGAACATTATACATTTCTAATTCTTTTAATTATTTAAAAAAAAAAAAAAAAAAAAAAAAAGAGTCCTTTTTTTTTCTCAGCTGAGCATTTCCAGTGTTTTGGTGATTGCTTATTGCTGCATATGTTAGCAGAGGATCATTATGAGAGCTGAAGTAAAACTTAACAATTTACCTTTTATAACTTATGGAAACAGTAAATTGCTGGAATGAATAAAGTTTGAAGTTTTATAAATATTTTCTGATTTAGTTTATTTAAATCTTTTGCTATTAGTAATGAAATAACATTGAACTCCAATCAGAGGTAATTAGTAAATTAGCAAAGTTGACTTTAATTTGACAAAAATATTTTAAAAAGAAGGTTATTATAGTTGTTATAATAATGATAACAATCACTGAGTGATCAAGTAGTATCTAGTCAATGAGACAGATTACTTAGAAGCAAATCTCAATACTCTAGTACTCTAGGTATTCTGTTTTCAATAAAACTTCAGGATGATTTTTATTCATCTTCATGTTTTCAGTTTTAATCATTTGGCTAAGCTCTTGGGAACTGTTCTAAGTGCCCCAACAATTATGAGCATAACTGTTGTCTTCATTTTACAAAATTTCTTCAGTTCTGTTGTAAGGTCTGTACATTTATCCAGCTTGTCATACTTTCTTCAATTTTATTCTGTGGTCTGTAAAAACAACAGAATCCATAATCTGACAATCCCCTTGTTTACAATAACTAGACCTGATCTAGTTGGTCTTAAATGGTCCTTTTAAATCTCAAATTCACAGAAAATATTTTTTTTTATTCTTTTAGATAGATTCTAGTTTGTATATAGATATCATTGGTCAGTATGTTCCTATTGGATCACCTTTTCCACCCAGTTGTGCCTTTTTGTATTCTTTGTGAGCCAACTTGCTGTATTTGGTTATTATACAACTGTCTCATCTCTCTCCACACATTCTGCATTTGCTATTTCCTTGCACTTTATCTATGTTAGGCTTTATCAAATTGATTCTTATATCATTGTTTTTATTGAAAATAAAAAATAAAAAAAACAACACTACTTTAACAGGGGAGCTGGATGATACATCTTATTTCTAATATTTAATTATTATTCAAATTTTACAAGTAAACATTGCTTTAGCCACCTTTAGCCTCTCAAAAATGGGAAATATAGTTAATTTGATATTCTTTCAATGTCTTTTTTTAATATGAATAATTGCTCAAGATAACAATAACTACTAAATAATTAATAAGTGACATAAAATTCTAACTATTGAATGTGCTTATAGTATAAAAATACAAATTATAAAATGAAATATGCAGTGTATACATAAATATATATTTCATCATAATATATACAAATAGTGCAATAACCGCATAATGCTAATAAAGTATGAAATATACAATATCATTCAGATAAAAACTTCTGCTGTAAGACTTTAAAATCTTTCAAAATTACAAATTTGTAAAATAAATTTAATATTAGAACAAAAAGGAACAATAGATTAGGTAAAGTTTACAAAATTTTCTAATGCAGAAAAAAATTATATTCTCAGGAAAAGTTTCTCTTGTAAATAAAGAAAGAAAAAAAATGTCTAAATAATCTAGTTTTGTGCACTAGCTTCATTTCATCTCTTTGCAAAATGCAGATAATAATTTATATGTATCTATGTCCCAGTGATAATTTAAAATTGATATAGTAAAGATGTGGTATGGAACAGATATGTCAGAGGAGATCTACTAATAAAGAATACAAAAAGTGTCCATTGATAGAGAGAATAAACATAGCTAGAAAAGACGTATTTGGATATCGAATACAACGTGTAATTAAAACTCTCCTGACATGAAAAATAATCACAAAATAGCTTCCAGGTGATAATTAGTCAGATCAATAAGATCTTATTGAGATTGATGTCTGTTTTAGTATATCTGGCAACAGAGAATTAGTATCAGTTCTCATTACTTTGGCTTATCTTATTACTCTCAGTAATCAGTTGAGTAGTCATTATCTGCTACTTATTTTTAAAATTATCATTTTATCTCCTCAGTTCATTCTATCATTACTACTGTAATAAAACAAAGGACATTTGTCCAATTGCTGCTGCGTTTTTTGTAATAAAGTTGTAAATACAAATGTTTTACCTTCAACTTTTTCCTTAACTAGGCTGAGCTATTTCAAGTGCAAGTTATGCCTCATTATGTTTGCAGGTGAGAAATAAGATTAGTTTTGATATCAATTTAAAAAAGCAGATTTGATTAATGATCAAGACATTAAAAAAAAAATGATTAAAAGAAAATATATTCTTGTTCAGTTCTATGTGGTTTTATGTAGTCACCTTATTCAATCTTCAAAACAATTATTTCAACAAAGAACAGTAAACAAATGTCCACCAATAATTCAAGGGAAGTAACACTTGACAATTTTTCTTTTAAATATGGACTAAGAGATCATTCTGAAAATGACAATGTAATTTGAAAGAAGAAATCACAAATTTTGAGATATAAAAAAAATAGAGTAGATATTTCTGTATTTACATCTTTTGATGGATTTAAAGGAAAAATTTATACTAGATATTTTTATTTTTTATAATGCCTCATTCCTTCAATATATATGAGATTTTAGCACTCCACAGATACCTATCTGCGAACTGCCAGGACTTCTTGGGAAAGAAAGAAGTTGCCTTCTCCACTACTTAGAATTCAGTCTAGTCCTTCTCCCAGACTGGTTGCTACCCAAGGTTAAAGATCACAGTCTACCCTGTTATTTAACCAACAGGTAGGGAAGAGAAGAGACCGATTTATGCCTTCCACAAAGGTATTTGTGCAAAAGTGAACACAAGAGATTAGGTAAGAATTTGAATGATAACACATAATTGCAAATACAATAACTTAATATATAAAGTATGTGAATAAATTGACTTATTTTCATACAACAAATGGTAATACACTGCGTCTTAATTATAAAAAGCAGGAAAAAAGCAGTAGGGTAAACTGGAAAAGAAATACAATATAGAGACAAGGTAAGCTCACTGCATGATGACATCATTTAGCAGAATGCACTCAAGTTATTAAGCATACTATAAATCAAATACAAATCTCCACAAGATACTCAAACAATAAGTAAAAAAAAAAAGCTCGCATCATACTGAAAGAGAGAGAGTGATACCTACCCTTGAGGAGAAGTAATGGAGGATGTTGAAGAAATAGATCTTTTTCCTGACATTTTTTACGAGGGGGACAGTAACAAATGCCAAACTTACATAACAGATTTAAAAGACCAAATATCTAGTCCTCGTATGTAATTATTGTTAATACCTGAAAACCTGGTACAAGTGTAGAAGATCTACAAGAAAGAAACACTAACAAAAAATATAAAAAGTAAATATCTTCAGCTAGAGAAAAGAATAGAGAGTAAAGGACAAGAGAACGTGTGTGACTAATATCAAGTTATTAGTATCTTAGGATGAGTGGCACTTGTTATTGGGGATCTAGGATTGAAAATTAACTTCTCATCTAGACTGTAATAATCCTTCTGGTTTTCAATTCTAAACTGGTCACTGATTTGAAGATCTGAAAAGAAAGAATAAAACATATGTGCACAATAATGTGAAAACAAAAGCTTCAGTTAAAATTCATTAATGTGAGATGTTGGTGTGTGTATTTAGAGCAGATTAAACAAATGCATTCATAACATTTCTCAATTACCCACTCACTACC